GGTATATAGGTTGATTAATAAACTAATTTTGTAGGAGACATTTGACGTTTTTCTTGATAAAATGGAATCATGTTGCATATTTTATCTCTAAATTAATCGATTACTTATTTCAAATCATTCCAGCTTGGCCTTAAATTTTCTTCAATTTGTATAAATTCTCTTACAAAATTTGTTAATAATTATGAATAATTTGATGCCTTTACTTTTTATAGTTTTGAATCAACAACATTTTATAATATACATCCATTCTGAAAATCCATGCAATCATAAGATTCTTCTAAGAGTAGAACTTCCAATAAAGTCATTCCAAATGAAAATACATCACTTTTATATTCATTATGTTATGCTTTAAAATTCATATTTCTATAATTATTCAATAAGATTGGAGAAAGGTAGGCTCTATCCTTACTTAAAAGCATCTTCTAAAATCCATATTAACCTCCAGGAAAATAATTATATTCTGCCAACTTTACACTTCCAGTCTCATCCAAATATATATTTTAAGGCTGGATATCTCCATGAACTTACTTCTAGTCTTCTAAAAATGCTAAAGGGTCTACAATTTATTAGATCAATAGCCAAATATGAGATTCAGGATATCTCTTAAGTGGTTACCTTCTCTTTTTTAATTCACTTTCTAATGTATCTGGAAAAAACTCTGAAACAACCATTACTAAACTTGAATCAGAACAAATTGATTATTCATTGCTTGTTCGCACAGCTAATAATTGCACTAAATTAGGATGTACAAAAATTTTCCTCTTTCTTAAATGGTTAGTTATATATGTTAATTCAGTATCACTTTTTGTTTAAAATTTCTTAATACAAATCATAGAATTATTCTAATTCTAACAGATTATTTACTTGATTATGAGTGTATAACTTAACTAACCCAAATTAGTTATGATCAGAATCTTTTTCTTTTGAATATTACAATAAAAACATTTAGCACTATTATTAAGTCTTCATTTCATTTGCATCACTTTAATCAGCTCCCATTAACGAATAAATTAATTTTAAATCATTAAATAAATGCTTTATTTGAAACATTTTAACTGTAAATTATATTTATATATCTGATTAAAAATGAGCACATTGATATCATAGAAATGGTAAATTATAATTGTTTAATTGATAGTTTAAAGTAAATTAAATAGAATTTTTGAATAAATTAATAATTATCCTTCTTATTATATGAAAAATTTGATTCAAGTGATTTTGATTTATGATAATTCATAATTAAATAGTATACAATATATTTATGAATTATTAAATAAATACCTAATACTAAATTTGATAATTTTAAATTAATTTTATGTCTATTTTAATTAACTATGTAGTTATTTTTTACCTAGTCAAATTATTTTAATATTGATGTATGATTCAACATATAAGATTTATATCAAAATGAAAACATAATTTTTATTATTATACAAATAATAATTCATATAATAATTTATTATGATTTATTAGATAAAACTGAAAATTTAAGATATTGATACTTATTATTTCTATAAAAATAAAATATTCAATAAACTCTGGCTTTTTCATCGAAGTCCTATTCAAATTAATTATCATACATTAAATCTTAACCATTTCCGCTAAAATCTTCATCTTCATAATAAGAAAAAGTAAATGTACTAGATCCAATAGAAGACTATATATATATATTATTTATATATACTGAATAATTTTCGGAATGTACTAACTTTTATTCACTATTTGAAGTATCAGAATATTCAACATCCATATTTTAATTTCCTTCTTATAGCTATTAAGTTCCATTTTGTTGACTGTGACCAGAATTATAAATAATTTGATATTTATTCTGTCTACCCAATAAATGTTTTTAGATATGTGAATAAAATCTATTTTTCACCATATTTTCCTATATTATTATAATAATTTTACTGATCTCCCTTTTAAATGTGAAGCAACCACACTCCATTTTGCACCATATTGATTATAATATTTAACAATTTCCTAATCCTCTTATTCTGTCCAAGGTACAAAATTAAGTGCAGGATCTAATTTGTTGAGATATCTTTCTCTTATTTATTTTCCTGTTCTTCCTTAGAAATGTCTAGCCAATTTTGTCCAGTTTTTTCCTTCTTGAGCAACCAATTATACTAATTTTGTATCTTCCTCTTAATTCCACTTTTATTTATTCTAAACATTATCATCTCAATAATAACTTAAATAGGATTTATCCTTCTCCATCTCTATGAACATTATGATATATTTCGTTCAGGCATAAATTGAATTATTTTACTCCAATTTCCTTAATACTCTTAATACAGCTTTCTAAGACGTTAATCCTCTTCTGGTTGCCAAATTTTTACAATCCTCTTGTCTCCTTCTTGTTTCTCCTTTGCTTTACTTATCTTCTTTTTCAATCCTTTGTCTGTCTTCTCTTGAGATTTGGAACTATTATAAAATAATGTTTATTTCATCTTACCGCATGCCTTAATTATCTTTCATTTGATAATGATTCCCTTTATTCATATCCTCGATTTAATATTCGAACTAATTCTCTTAAATGTTGTCTTCCTCGAAACTACTCTTTTTTTATTATTTTTCTTCATTTAATTATAGATAGTTATCTGTAGGTGATCCAATTGATGATGCAGGCTTAGATTCTTAAAAATTTCAATAATTTATGCTACTTTTTATTTCATTTATTGCTGTTTTACCAATATCTAACTCAATCCTTCTTTGCTCTAAAAATTGTTCCTCCTAACTTTTATTGCTATTTTGTGATTTTGTATCCTTTTCATCTCTCTGCCGTTTGGAGCAGCAAAAATTAAATACAAGATCTAGAAACATCTTATTGATGCTTTACTTGTTATTTAATAATTTATTAATTACTTGATTCTCACTAATTATATATAATTGTTCTCTTAAATAATTTGTATTGATTGCTATATTTAAATTTTATTAACATATAATTTCTATTAATTAAAGCACTAATTATATACATTTATACACAAAACATGCTCCATCAAAATAATTAATTAGAGTATGAAACAATACAATAAAAAATAAAGAATTACCCTATTTAAGCAAGTGAAAACATTCTACTCACTTAAAATTTATTGTAGATTATAATATTCATCATTAGATAACTTATGATCTAATTTTGAGCATAAATTGTAGAGGCATCTTTTTTAAAACTTGTATTTCCAAATTCATTAAAACATGTTTGAAAGATAAAACTATTAATTATTTGTTCATCCATGATAAGGTTGTAGTAATTATTAGTCAAAAAAATAAAAAAATGAACAAAACTTATCAGAATTATTTTTGCCCTTAATTGTAATTATCAAAAAAATTAATATCTATTGTATTATTTAATTGGATGATGATAGTACTGTAATATATAGATTTAAATCTTGTTCCCCAACACTAAAAAGTCAATATTTTTATTATTAATAAAATGGATGAACTTAATTTTATTCTTAATTTTAATACATAATTGCTATCTTAGATAAAAATCAGAATCTCATTTATAACTTTTTGTTTGAATAATTTTCATAATCTAAAAAAAAGAGGTAAATTCACTTAATTTATATTATCATTAGATGAATAAAAGAGAACTTTACAAGTTAATTGACAAATTGTTTTACATTTATTATACTGATTCTTTACCCTGGAAATTGTAAGAGACAGCTAATTTGAAAATCAGAAATATGGGATTCATGATATATTAATGTAAATACGAATATTATAATAAGTAAAAAGAAAGTATAGAAATTAATAAATTCCTTTGTTGTAAAGAGGCAATATGAAAAAAGAATGAAAAATTTATTATATATTAGTACAAATTATTTTATGAAAAATTGGTTAGAAGGGTGCCATTTTTATTAAAGGATGAAAATAATTGTTTATTTTGTTTGAGATCAATAAAGAAGATGATAGTTTGTTTATTTTAATTTAAATAGATAATTTGTATTTTAATTAATCAAAAATTTAATATTTTAAATTATGTCATGTGTAAGTTGCAGAGAAAAAGAAATAAATTGAAATTTGTTAAGAATTTCAGAAGAGAGAATAAGCAAAACATATTTTTAAAATTAATTCGCTAACCTATTTGTATTACCTTGTTCTATAATTTCAATGTAAAATAATTATTAATTTTGATAATTTCAATATTATTCCTTTAAATTCGTCATGTCGTTATGCTGCTTTTTAATGATCTCAAATAATTTATATATGTCTTTTTGAATATGTACTACTTCATTTGTCTATTTGCTGAGTTTTTCTAAGAATACTGTATAATTTAGTTATACTTTAAATTGGGTGAACTTCTTGATAGATGGCATTTGAAAGTTAACTTATGAATTTTTATTGCAATATTGGGGTTACTCCATTATGAGCACAGGATATTGAATGAGGTTGCTATTTCTTGATAGTGATTTTTCCAGAACATGCATCTATTAAAACAAAGACATTATTGCAAAGTATTTTTCTCTTTCTTTTTCTTTGGGTAGAAAAAAAGTTAGCAGAGTCATTAAAGTAATTTCTTAGTATATGTTTAGCAGATGAATATTTAACTTTATGGAGGATAGCTGCCTAAAATAATTAATTATTGTAATTCTTCATTACCTAATAAATTGGAAGACGATCATTAACAACACTCAATATTAGCTTTGTTTTTATCTCTTAATCTATTGCTTTTCTTTACTTAGTTTAATTTTTAGTCTATTCAAAGATAGGAACAGGATTTTATTCCATTTTCAGAAGTTTTAAGTGTTATTAAAAATACTCTGAACATTTAAGATTGAGTTATTCTTATATATATATTAAGATAGTAAAGGAAAAGGATTTTAGAATTATAGAAAATTTAATATTTAATATAAGAGGAAATTTTGGTCAAATTTTAGATAAATAAACATGGATTATTTCATATTTGAAAAGGTGTTTTAAATTTGTTCCTTAACTAATTTTTTTGGGATAAGAATAATTTTTAAATTAATCAATTGAATAATAAATTTTCAAAATCAACTCACTTCATCCTAAAAACATTCAAAAATAAGTTCTCCTTATTCATTTTCATATTCTCTAATTCTATCCTCTGTTTTTAATTCATTCAATTCAACCGTTTCTGAATTATCTAATGATGTATCTTTTGGATGAAACATATGAGCACATAAATCTAATACTGTTTTTTTGTCTATCTCAGCTGCTTCATTTTCTATTTATATCATATTTATAATTATATACCTGTATTTATTACACTATAATATTCAACAAATTCACTTATTCTCTCCACAAATCTACATTCTTCCATCTATTTTGCAAAGTTTTCCTTACTCAAATATGATAAACAAATTAAAACATGCATTAACACACTTACTTAAATCTATTCTTTCATAAACTTTAAGAGTTATTCCATAACTTAATGAGCAAATCTTCCTTATTTCTCTAGATATTATAATGTATATGGAGTATGAATTACATTTGCTAATGTAGCAGATGCAAAATCAAGACAAAATATATGAATTTTTGTATTTATTGATTTTTGTATTAATTAGATGATCCATTATATCATTTCATTATGAACATATGTTGGTATTACAGTATCTTTTATACTAGCTTTTTATAAAATTGCTAAACAAAATCTTTAAGTAACAGAACCATTTTCTTATTCTTTCAAAATTTTTATTATTTTCTCTATAATTATCATATTACCATTATATGTTAAATATTCTACACCTCTTAAAGTACTACTAATAACACTAATTAAACTTGTAATAGCATGTCTCAAACTCTAATTGTTAATATCCAATAAATGAACAACAAAATCAAATTTCTCTGTTGCTTCAATATTAAATACATCATTTCTAATTAATTCATATACAAGATTCTTTCTCAATTCTGGTGCTATCTATAATGCATTTACTCTAAGAGATAATAAAACTTCAATCATTCCATCTACATGTTTATCTTGAAAATTCTTAAATAATTTTGTCTTGTGTTCATGCATAACCTATTCAGTAATCAATTCAGTTCCTTCTGGTTTACCCTCATTGATAATCACTTTATGATATTTCCCTAATTAAATTTTGTAATTCTCTAAAGTTTCGCTTAAGTTTTCATTTTTGGCTGTTTCTTTGAGTGAATGTAATAATTAAAGTAAATTAATACTGACAGAGAAGATTTGTCTTCCTGCCTATAGGATTTATTAATATTTTTTATTGAAGGCTTTTTATTCCTTCTCTAAATTGATTTCTCTTTTAGTTTTTGTATTATCACTTTTAAACAATTGAAATAGTCTTGGAGCATCATCACCTAATTATTTAGATTATTATTATTTATTAAGCATCTATAAGTAAGAAATAAGTAAATGAATACTTTATTAGAAACTTATTTGCTCTTGATTTCTGCTTCAAAACATTCAAGAGTGTTTGAAAAAGATGAATATCTAAGATACTCTTTGATATATTCATTGATTTCATTTTAATCAGGTTGAATAGAATTAGGCAAATTTGAATTTGCAGATTTCATTAATATAAAAATATTCAATACATATATAAATTCTTATGTTTACTAAATAATATACTTAGTTAATTTGAATAATATTATTATATTCAAGATTTATCTTTAGATAATTATTAAATCTTATTTAATGATTCTAATAATTCTTTATTAGTTTATGATTCACTATTTGGACCCAATAATTTTTATTTTTCCTTATTTAATAAATCATCGAAATCATGATCATCTTCATCATCATCATCTTATGGATCCTCTTTTAAGATTTTCTTTTTTCTTATAGCTTCTATAAATTCAATTTCTGCTTATTAAACTTCACTCTTTTTATTAACTGGTCTTAAATATGAAGCATCACCATCTTAATCTAATACTTCATTATCACTTTCTATTTCACCTACATGTGCCATTTCAGCTACATTCAATTAATTATTTTTAATTTAATTAGCCTTACCCATTTCTGTCTTAACATTAATCATATTTTATGAATTTTATGAATATGAATAATTGTGAAAACTCATCATACCTGATTAATCTCCTGCTTTTTGATTTTTATTAATTTATAATTTTTAATCTCTTGACAATTATTATGAATGTAAACTTTATTATGATATATCTAAATCATTAACTTCTTTATCAATAATATTTAATATCTTTTCATCTTCATTACTCTTAGATTAATTAACTTATTATTACTCCTATTAAATAATACTATGATCTTTTTAAACAAACCTCATTTATTTTAATTCTTCTAATTCAGCAATCAATTTTTTTTATTAAATTATTTATGCTTATTATTATGATCCAACCATATTATTTAACTTAACCATTTCTTATACTTTTTATTCAATTAATATTTTCATTTAATTTTAGAATTACTTCATCTATTCTTCTTATTATAATATTCTTTTTTATCTTTCTTCTCTATCATTCTCTCTTTTAATTTTTCTCTCTTCCTTTCTCTTTTATTTCTATTCCATCTTTTCTATTTGTTATTACTTTAATTGTTAAAATCCAGCACTACCTATCATCAAAGGATCAGGCATTGATTACATAGTATTTCCAAATTATTATTATTTCATAAAACTTTGTTATGTATTTGCCATAGATTACTACTATTGTGTTTATTGTTATTACAATTATTATAACATTGAACCCAAATATTCTGGATTAGTTATATCATCCTTTTATTTTTCAACATGTTTATTATCAATATGTTTAAGTAATTCTTATTTTGAGGAATAACATTTGTCACAATGATGACATTTGAATATTATATTTTTGACAGCTTATTCTTTAACCTTCTTTGCTTCTTATTTTAAGAGTTCAAGTTCTTTATTAATCTAATTCTACTTATCCATATGTTATTTTTCAATTTCTTTTAGTTTTTCTAATTATTCTTGTTTGTTTCTCAAAATTTACACTTTTTCATCTATTTCTATCTCTTTTTATTCTTAATTTTAAGTATAAAAATCCATAGCAAATTAACATACCTCCAACATTTTTTTAAATTATCGAAACTCCATATTTCTTATTGTATCTGATGTGAAGTTGGATTGAACAAAATTTTTTAGAAATGGTCCACATTAAGCTATATCCCTAAGAAATAGAGAGATATAATGAATTACAGATTTGCTTATACATAATCCCAATTAAGATTGTCTAAAAGTAAAGGATTAAATTATTCGGATTGGGGGAGTTCAAAAGAAAATGGTTTAATGAGATGTTTAATTGCACTGTTATTTTATTGCATATTTATATTAATGTAAATGAATGTATGATTAAGTTCTGGAAAGGAGCAGGAGTTGAAAATAAAATGAAGAATAAAAAGACACACTCTTGATGAAAGTTTATAAAAAATAATTTGCATATTATAATATATTAGTAATTAAGTTAATAGCACTTCTTTTGGATTCACAGTTTTAAATTATTTGAAATAATTCATAGACATACTTAATGGCTAGTGAGGAAGAAGTGAACATTGAGGATGAAATTATTGAGGAATCATAAGTAGAAGACAATCCAAAAAAGAAGAAGGACAAGAAAGATAAGAAAATAACTATGAAGCTAGACTAGAAAAAGCCAATTGATGGTAAATAGTAATTTGGTGACAAATCTATATGTCGATTATGCAAAGTGACTACTCAATCCACTCCAACTATAATCTGTATAAGGTGTCACTTTAAATACCACAAAGAATGCATACGAACTTAAAACAAAGAGCCATAATTCCAGGACGGTACTAAATGGTATTGTCTCTCCTGTATAGAGAGAATGGCTAAGAGAAAATTGAAAGAGTCGGAACCATAGAAAAAGAAGAAAACTAGTTAAATACCTGAAATCTTTCAGAAAACCCTATAACCATAAGAAGATAAATTGAAAAAACACACTGAATTTCAATAAAAATATCCAACCTATGTCTAATAAGGAAGAGTAATTTTTCCAATATTTGATGAATATCTTACAGCCTATCAATAATTGTTTACCATTGAAATTAAAAAGAAGCCTATTCTCCAACTCGATCCAACTATTCCACAAAACCTTTTTGAAGATGTTCTAAAAATATGGGACAACTACAATTATATGGATAAAATTGTAAGTGATATCCTATATGCAGGAGAACAATAAACTGAATGTATTACTATTTATTATATAAAAAAGAGTAAAGTTAAGTTAATAACATTGGTACCTTGATTCATTTCAAAGATAATCATACACCTTATAGTTAAAAAACTCGCTTAGAGATATATAATATAATCTAAACAAAACCTGAAGAATTGATCCTCTTTTTTTGCTATTTCTATCTTAAATAAATAATTGAGGATTTAGATTAAGAATAGATGTAAAAATAATAATATGTAATTCATATCAAAATAAATCTAGAAAATCCCATATTGGCATCTTCTTGGATACATGTGGTTTACAGATAGAATTCGATATTATGAATTATTAAGGGATGACATAAAGTCATTACCCACCAATATCTATAAATAAGGAATATTACATTTAACATAAGATATGATAGACTTAAATGATTACACTGATATCAAAAAAATTTGTAAATTACTTATAGCTTTATCTGATGGGTTAACAAGTCTTAAGAAAACATAATTTCTGTATCAATTCAGAACTGAAAATCTTCTATCCAATAATAGAATTAAATTACAATTAGGAACACAAATAAAATAACAAAGAAGTCAATAAATAGATATTAAGAAAGAAATTATTGAAGCTGAAGGGAATATTTCAATTGCTTAAGTATATTTTTATTATTATATTATAGTCTCAACTCTAATAAGAAGGGTTAACAAGAGTAGAAACATAGAAATTAACAAAATAAATGGAACAAGCCTAAAAATAAGCACAAAAATTAAAATAATAGTACTCAAAATTAGAAAAAGAAATATCATCTTTAACAGAAAGATATAATTAATAAGATAAGGTAATATAATTATTTATTCTTATTAGGAATTGGCCATCACATAAATGCCAGCTTTATTGTTAAATCCATCTATGTGTTTAGGTCAGGATGCAAGACACAGTTCATATTATTTCTTTTTATATGAACCTGATAAAATCTTTGTTTGTATGAGACATTCAATTATAGATGATGATGGATCATAATAATGGGGATTTTATGATTAAACTGAAATATAAAATCTACTTAATTCATTATGTCCAAAAGGGGTTAGAGAGAATACTTTAAAAAATAATATTATTGAATTATAGAGGGCTAAATTGTTATAAATTAATGAATAAAATTAGGAATAGGATGATTAAATTGAATAAGAAATTCATAAGAATGGTAAAGGGATAGATAATGATATTGAGTAGGAAGGTCACAATTAAAGTGAAGAATCAATAGAAAGAATAAATAGTTTAATAAATTTAGATGTAGATGAATTAGTAAATGAATTTGTTGAAATTGAATCTAGTTTAACACAATATTTAAATTAAAAAAATTCAAGATGGTGTAGTACTGAATAAAGAGCTATATTTTTAAAGAGTTTTTAGAATGTGATTGAAAAAAAGAATTCATAAGAATATGATGAAATTGATTTATAACCTTTAGGGAAAGCTATTGAATATTTTGTAGATAACACAATGATGCAAGAGAAATTAGAACTTAGATTAGAAGAAGATATGGATGATAAATAATTCAATGAAAATGATGAAGATTCCTATTAACCAAATAGAAGGAGAAAGGTTGTTGAAGATGATTCATCAATTGATGAATAACCTTAAACTATGTTATAATAATTAGAATAAATGGATAATGGAAGAGTGAGAGTTAGAAAATTACCTATGAAATTATTTGGTACATATTATGAGACTCTTAGATTGAATTTAATAGAATAATTGAAATTTGATTGTAATTTAGCTAAAATGAAAATTTGTTTAGAAGTATTAGGTTAGATAGTGAAAGATTATATTGACAGAAAATAAATATAAATTCAATAATAAATATTACCTGTAGGAGAAAAGAAAAAAGTAGAAGAAATCATTATTAAAAAGAATATTGAACCCTAACCTTAATTTGTTTAAGAAGTATAATAATAGTATGTAACACAAAATTTAAGAAAAAGAAATTAAGTGAAACCTTAATATACTGAGACAGAAACTAAGTGGGAAGATAGATGTAAGAAATGCAACAAAGGAGGTAAAGTTATTTGTTGTGATACATGTCCAAAAGTATTCCATCCAAAATGTATTAATTTAAAAGAGGTTCCATAAGGGAAGTGGAACTGTCTTAATTGTTTAAGAAATTTCGAGAGATAAATTAAAACAAGAGCTACTATTAGAAAGTTAGAAAACCAATGAGACAATGATCCATTGTTTTTATTATTAAATAATGATTTGTGATTTAGTTGATTATACTCTAAGAACAACTCCAAATAAAGGAAGACTTTCATAGACAAACACAACAGCATCCCCTAACAGTTCAAGTAATTCTTCTTTTGAAGCATCACAACTTAAAATTCCAAGACCTTTGTTGAGTTTTGATGAAAAATTTGAAGCATCTCTTTGTGCTTTTGGTAATAGGTTTTTAATCCATTTTAGAGTTTAAATTATTAGTCCCTGAAGAAGATGGCTTAATAAATTTTGAACAGTTCAGTTAAGAATTGATATAAGACAAACTTATATTCTTGAATGATGAAAAATATTTATAATAGTAATAGGCATCTTTAGAGATTGCTGAAGAGAATGTAAAGACTTTAATTAAAAAGCATAGATTCTTAAGGATGAAAGAACTACTTTGATGCTCAAAAATATACCTAGAAGCATGAAGCCTAATGACTTGAGAAATATTTTAAATAAAGAATTTCGTAATCTCTATGATTTTTTCTATTTACCATTGGATAATAATGTATTTCTAATTTTATAATTAAAGAATGAAGGTCATTTGGGATATGCTTTTGTTAATTTTATCAATCAGGATATAGTATTAAGGTTTTATAGAACATTTAATAATTAAAAATGGACTAATACAGAGAAAGTATTTCTAATTTTATTAATTTCTAGTAAATTTGTCAATTGAAATATGCTAAATTATAAGGAAGAAGGTAATATGAATTTGCAAGATGATTGAGCTTCAATAGCTATTTTTGTGTATTTTTTTTCAAATTTTTTTGATTTAAATACTTTCAAGGATAATATGGAGCTAATAGTTTTTAATTATATAAATCATTTGAATCTAACGAACAATAAACTTCTGAATTAGCCAAAATTTATTCAAAGTTCTTTACTTTTTTCATTCTGTTCTAAGGATTCTTAGTCAATAATTATTTAATTAATTATTACAAAGACCTTATAATAATAACAATACAAACTTGTCAATGCTAAATGGAAATTCGACTTTATCATTCAAAATAGACTAGTACACTTCATATGGTGTTTTACCCTTAAAAGGTAATTCTCCAGTTGAGAACTCATACAACAACACTCCAAAACTCCAATAATCAACACTATGATTATAACCTTATCCCTGAATAGCCTCAGGAGCTATAAATCCTGGACTTCCACATAAAGTAGTTGTCTTTTAAGGTTACTTAACCAATTTACTCAAATCAAAATCCACTAATTTTAGATATCCATTTTTCATAAGCAATAGATTTTCTGATTTCAAATCCCTATAAATAATATCATTCTTGTGTAGATAATCCAATGCCAATAAGACTTATGCAGAATAAAATGAGATTGCTTCCAATTCCAATTAATGATTTCGAATATACTTATATAGCGATTATTCATGCAATAATTCCATTAAATAATATACAGAGTTGTTATTAATTTCATATTAAAACACCTTAACAATGTTTGGGTGATTTAATTATTATAATCTTTAGAATAGCTTTTCTGAAAATAAATTTAATGAAATCTATTTAGCAGCATAACTCCTCTAATCACTATAATTGATAACTTCAACAACTTATCCTTATTCTCCTTCTCCTAACTTTCTAACAAAGCTATATCCACTCATATTAAAAATAAAATCAAATAATTCCACTTATTTACTTTCAAAATGCTATAAACTAACTCAAATTATAAGTCACTTTTAAGGAATCCTTATTTAAATTAAACTAATAATTTTATTAAAAAAAACATAATAAAATATATAATAAATTATTTAATATCCCTCAAATATGTTCTTGCTTACTTTGAAGTATCTACTATAATAATAGAAATCATTTATATATTATTCTGTTATTTCTATTTATACATAGATTTATTAATATAATTAGTGAATAATTATTATTATTTGTTAAATTAATACCTAATTTATAATGATCTCTAATTTTAAAGATTATTCTACCATTATTTATTATCTAGATTATTTTTAGTCATGAATAAAAATCAGAATCGAAATTTAAAATAAATCATTTCTTACTGTGTCATAATATGACATAATTTAAACCTGAGTACTTTTCGATTTGTTTGTTTAAATCTAATTCTACTTGTAATTCATAGATTATTTTATTTCTACTTTTTGATTTTCTAATATTAAGATTTATTCATAAAATCAAATTATATTTGTATACAATAAAGAGTTTTGGCAATCCTTATAAATTTCATTGATAAATTCTTAAGTTACTTATCAAATTTGAGAGAATTCCTAAGTAATTTATTGTTAAGATTCTTATTAGATCTGCTATATAATTATTTTATTTGAGACTCTTACTATTTTTAATTCTATATCTCTATTAAAGTCTTCTACAATCTTTGATTCTAGAGATTACAAGAGTAAATAACAATAAAATTTTGAACTATATCTTGATCTTGAAGTTCATGATTATTCTTCAGATTTTGTAAGAGAAGGCTGTTTAAATTATTAGGCAATAGCTTCCTTCATCATTGATTGATATTATCATGTAATTATTTATCTGATAACCTATTTACTTCAAGTTAATAATTTAATCTATATTTATTAATAGTTATAAAGAGTGTTCATTCAAAACGGAAGTCGAGAATAAAATTAAAATATAATTCAAATTATTTGCTACAATTTGATCTTCAAATCAACTTAAGAGATGGTTCTTTTTAATTGATACTTCTCTTTATATTCTCTTTCTAAAGGAGGTAATTTCCATTAATTTCTTTCCTTTCGTTCATTACTTTTAATTCTCTCTTACAATATCTTATTATATTCATCTATAGTGTTAACTTACTATATAGTAGGATAAACAAATTCTGGGAGACTTTAATCGCATTTTTTGGAAGATTATTCCATAAGAGGTAATTTCTCACGATCTTTGAAGGAAGTGTTCCTGAAAATGCGTTGTCTTTTGAAATGCAATTGATCTTATTGTCTAAGAGCTTGATTTCCACATTTCTTGTAAAGATTAAAATATTTATCTCTAATAAAATATTGATTATTCAACTTCCATTTTTCTAATTATTGATCCATTTTTTAATATAATAATTAATTAATATATGGATCCTTTACCATAATTTGCAGGAGATGATTAACAAATAACTTATCTGTTTGCATGGGGACGTAATAAAGATGGAGAATTGTCTATAGTAAAATGGATATCATTAATGTTATTAGGGCAATTAAAAGAAATGTAATACTCCTAAGGCAGTACAAGGATTGAAGAATTAAACAGTTTAATTGATTAGTTCAGGTTCAAACCATTCAGGAATAGTAACTTTAGATGGTTAACTATTTATTTGTGGTTCTGCATTACACGGTTTGCAATTCAAATTTAAAAAATAATTTAGGTAAACTAGGTTTTGAGGATGCAAATCAACCATCTTATCCAAAATTCTTACTTGTTTAGGCTATGAAAGGATTGTTTGTGACTTAGGTGGCCACAGGAGATTATCATACTTTATGTTTATTAGACAATGGATAAGTTTATGCATGGGGTGGCACACTTCATAAAAAGTTAGGATCTAAAGCAGGTAAACCAGCAAGAATTGAAACATTAAAGCAAACTATAGTATAAATAGGATGTGGTGATTTTCATAGTGCTGCATTAAGTGCTAATGGAGATCTATATACATGGGGAGGAGGAGGAAGAGATTATAATCGAGGTTAATTAGGTCATGGACATTTGAATGATGTAGAAACTCCATAAATTGTTAAAGATAGTATAGTCAAATTTAGTTGTGGAGGTTATCATATGATGGCATTAGATAAGGATGGAGAATTATGGTCTTGGGGTTCTGGAATGTATGGAGAAACTGGTTAAGGTGAATTTTAAGATAGTTTATTACCAAAAAAAGTAAAAGTGAATTTCAATTAAAAACATATAATTATTGATGATATTTATGTGTAGAATAAATAAGGTTATTTATTATTATTATTATTAAAATAGAGTCAACTATCAAGGAAATCAGTCTAGGTGGACATCATAGTTTGTTATTATCTAATAAAGGAATTGTATATGCTTGTGGATATGCATAACATGGATAATTAGGTATTAAAGCTACTGAAAATTAAAATAAATTTTAATTAGTTATAGGATTATCTGGAAAAACTATAGTATAAATTGCAGCTGGATGGAATCATTCAATTGTATTGACAAGTCATTCAGATGTTTATACTTGTGGACATAATTAAGCAGGATAACTAGGAGTTGGTGATTATGAAAGTAGAACTTAATATACTAGAATTAATTTCTTGGAAAAGAGAAGAATAAAATAATTATTTGCAGGTGGTAATCATTCTTGGGCATTAATTGATTATAATTAACCTAGAATTGATGATTATTCTCCACCATCTCCTTTAAATGAAGAAGTAAAAATTGAAAATTTTACTTAACCTCTTGATTAAGGTCTTTAAGATTTAGAAATTGTTATTACTGAGGTTAAAATGCATCATAGATTTGTTAAAATTTAAGTTCCTTCTTAATTTTAAACTACTATTCAAGCCAAAATTAATGACTATTTGAATTTTATGCAAAAAGATCCTAATACAAAATTAAGTAAATTTTAAAATGATGCTCTTGCCTTAGGAATTTAAGAAGATAATAATAAGTATTTATTTTTTTTATATATTTTATTTAGATTATCATTTACTATTATGATGATTATGGATCTATCTTAATATAAGATGCCATTTGAAGAATTGGATGAAGGAAAAGTCAATCAAATTGGGAAATAGTTTGTTGTAAAGAGAAGCACTTTCAATAAAAATCCTATTTACGATTGGATTATATAAGCTGAGAAGATAATGAATATTCCAGGAATCTAAATAAAATTTTTAGAACTTAGACCATTATAATGAATGATTCTACTTATGAATAGATAAACTGTATTATAATCTTAACAATAATATTTCTAGTTAATTTATTATTAAATAAATTTTAACAGAATGGGATAAAGTTCATCTTAAAATTTACAGCAATCTAGAATGCAAGTACCTAAAATAAATGAATTATAATTTTGGAGATAAGTGAATGATGTCAGATATGGAGAAATCAAAGTCTATAAATTAAATGATGGACACGCTGTGGCTGTCAAAGATCATATTTTATAGGATGAAGAATAATGGCTTAAATTTAAACAATCAGCAGAAATGAATATGACTTAAAGAGATAAGAATTTGTTCTTAATCTAAATGATAGATTTATAACATGTCACAGAAAAGGAATTATGTACCTAGATGACTTAAGCACATAGTGTATATGAATATTTTGATGAATATTTGGATAGAGTAATTACTGAATAAAGTGCAACTAAATAACATTTTGAAGAAATAGAAATAGCTGCTATGATTCATTGTACTGTATAATCTTTTTTAATATAAATCTTTAGTTAATGGCATTATAACAATTAACTAAGCAATAAAAATCACATGGAGACATTCGTCCAATTACTATAAGTGTTACTTCATTTCCAAAGAAAAGTCCTCATCGACAGAATGAACCTCTACCTGTTTATAAATTGACAGACATCTAAGAATTGACTGATATGAATGCATTTCGTAGATGTGTTGCCAAATAACATGCTTAATATAATTTAAGTCCTGAATAATTAACATTCTTAAAATAAAGAGTGCTTAGACCAACTTATGATTTAGATAAATCTGATGTGTTTTGTATTGGATTAACTGCATTATAAATGGCTACTCTAAATAGTATTTATGATATTTATGATAATTCCAACTATCTCATTATTACAGATAAATTAGATACTTACATAAGAGAAATGAAAACAATATATAGTGAATAATTATGTTCTATAGTATGTTAACTATTACAATTAGCTCCTGAAAATAGACCTAATTCTTATTCAGCTAATGATTTATTGATAGGATTTAGATATTAATTGGAAGATTATTTCAGAGTAAAAATTTATCATATTAATTTTATTTTAGTAATCCACAATCAAGGAATATTTACCCAATTATTCAATAGAATTTAAATAGATAAATAACAAACAAATAAATAGAATTGAAGAAAATTAAATAGCAAAAAGTAAATTAGTAGACACAAGTGATATTTATGAATAAATGGAAATTCTAGAATAAAGAGCTAAGGTAGCATTATAAAGAAGTCAAGATGCATAAGTTAGATATCAAAGAACACCAGGAAAAAGAATTAAATCAACTTAATGGGAACCAACTAACAGTTATTAAATGTATAATAATCTTACTCCAATAACATAAAAGGAACTTTAATTGTAATTAAGTGAATACAAGTAAGAAATTCAATCCAATAAATAATCTACATACTCTTATAATAATAATGCTCCTTAGTATTTGAAAAAAGAAATTAATACCTTTCAAAATCATTAAGGTTAAGAGGAATATGAATATAATTAATAAGAGATTGACGAAAAACCAAATTAAAGTGTTGTTGAACAAATCGAATTGGCAAGTTCAAATTAAAAAATTTATTCACAAAGACCTATTAATAATAATACTGCCTCATTTTCTCATTAATAATTATTTGAATCAATTAATACTGAATAGCCTAAACCATATAATTAGACTTATAATTATCAATAATAGTATTCTCAGTAGTCCATAAAGTAATAAGAATAATAATAATAATATTAATATTAATAATAATAATAATAATAATAATAATCATAATATTAATAATAATAATAATCATAATATTAATAATAAAGTAATTATTAATAACCAAGATAATCACAAATATTAAGAGATTAATAAATCACCAAACAATTAACTGGTTAATTTGATATCAAATAATCAGTAAGTAATGATAATTATTATCTTTAATAATCATAAATCCCAAGATCACCTGAACCTTAAAACATCTATCCTAAAATGGAATATTAACATTAATCATAGAATGAGTATCAACAATAAAGAATCAATCGTTAAATAACAGAATCTTTCGATTCATAATTATCTAGTCATAGCAAATAATAAATACAAGAATAATAATAATCCATTTCCAGACAATAGAGACCAAATATATCAAGATAATTGACTGGATCAATAGTAGAGACAAGAAAATCAATAAAATAGTGATTAATTATAATATTATTAATAATCATTTTCATTAGTTGATAGTATTTTTTCTATTAATTTCAAAAATCATTTGGAAGACCATGTAATCTTTCCAAATAATCCATTACTGGAGTAGATAAGGCTGCTTGTACAATAAATTGTGAAAGTCTCAATTACCATCCAGCATAGTACCCCTTTAATCCTTTATCCTAATACACTTTGACAAAGGCTTAAGGAATAGTTAATGATTTGTAATTTGCATTGTTTTCCATTTAATAAGCAGTTTTTACTACATCAAATGGTTATACAAATAAAATGTTTGGAATGGATGTCAATAAACTACACATAGCTATTTATTATAAAGTAAGAGCTTGACTTGGACTATCCTTAAAGAGATATCTAATTTTATGATCCCAATATAAATAATTAGTCCAAGAAACTACTTATTTTAATATCATAGCTTCCATTCCAGTATAAATATTTTTGATAAAATGGGAAAATTGATGTTCATTTTTTAACAATTGTTTAATGACTAGAAAATATAAATGAAATTTAGATACTTGATTTTGATTCATATTGGGTCATTAATTAACATTTAATTCTTTCCATAGGACAAGTCACAAGGGATTCAAAAATAGCAATTGTTGCACCAGCTAATCCTTTATGTAATGCTGGATGGTTCTGGATCCAAGATGATGGTAAAAGTTCTTTATAATATTTTGGAATTAAGATCATCATTGGCCATCTAAAAATAGGGATATAATTAAAAATTTACCTATAGTATTGTTTAAACAATTGAATGCTTATTTAAGATGAGAATCCAGCAAATACACCTTTTAACATTCCATTTCGTCTATAAGTTTCTTTGAAGAGTTATTTTATTGATGATTGTGTATTTTCAGCCTATACTAAAGTTTTGAATCTATCAAAAACATGATCTATTGGTAAACCAAGAATGACCCTGGATAGACCAATTATTTGAGTTTCTATGATTGGTTTGAGGTATTTTTAAGTTCTAACTTTATAAATGGATTCAGACATCGATATTATTTAATTATTATTTCAATAAGACGAAGAAATTTATGTTAAATAATACATAAATTTATGAATTTAATACGCACTATAGATCATAAATAGAAGTTATTAATCATTAATTCATAAATTAATGATGCAATATTGTTTCAAATTCATACTTTATAATTAGATATTAAAATCATTTTATAATATTGTTTCTTCAAATCCTATTTAAATAATCCAAAATTTCCAGCACATATAAAACAAAAAATATAAATTTAATACTTAAATCAACTTCTAGTCATTTCTAAATATTTGATTATTACATCATCTATTTTTATACATCCATTATAATGAGAATAATAATATTTGAAGGAGTCTTTCATACATTATAATTCTAAACTGGATGTTATTAAAACAAATTTTAATTTAGATTTAGAACTCTTTAAAATACTAATATAGATTATGATAAAATTCAATTATTGAATTTATATATACAATAAATAACAATAAAGTTTAGAAATGACTCTTAATTCTTATCAATTGATTGAATATTATTTGTTTATTTTTAATTATTATTATAAAATGAAAAATTACAATAACATACAATAAAACAATGATAAAAACATAGATTTCTTAAATATGCTTTATTTTGTATATTTATTTTGATTGCATTTTGGAATGGAGGAACAATAAGAAATTTAAAAAGTATTACATAAGTATTATTTAGTATTTAATATTAGGTGAACAGTTTAAACTGGGCCGATTTTTGATTAATAATTGATAAATCAAGAAATATAGTCAATATTAATAATAAATGGACAAGTTAATTACCTTTAAAGCAAAATCTCATGTTGGTCATTTGAAGCAAGTGATAACACAAGAATAGAAACTTTAATTTTATAGTGAAGAGGAAGGAGAATCATCTAATTCTCAAGACAATACACCTACACCAGACAACAAAGGTAAAGCAAAGCCAATACCAAAGTAAAATGGATTCTAAACTGATGATTCAGAAGGAGGTACACCTAAGAGTCAAAGAAATACTTAGTAATAACATACAAGTATTTATATTAATTTTGACATAAGCAGCAAAGATGTCTAGATTTAGCAATTTAGTGAATACAAAGAGAATAGATGGAGATGTAGAAAACGAACCAGACTTTAGTGATACAGAAAACAATAATGAGCCAGTTGAATAAAGCAATCAAGAAGCAAATTACAATATTGAAGAGTAAGCTTAAAGAATTTAATAAAAACTCTCCTTAAAAGCACAAACAAATCCAAAGTTAGCAAAAGCAAAGTAATAAAATCTATAATGAATAGATAAACATCATCAATGTAAAATCTAAACTCTAATACAGACTCGGAATAAAATAAAAAGAATCCATAACTGAATTAAAATAATAAAATAGCTTAACATCCTTTTCGTCATTTAATATTTGGACAATATATAAATGAATAAGCATTTAAAAAACATTTACTACTTACATAGAGAGGATTAATCTATGCTAGAAAGTGTTTAAAAGGACCATCTGATAAATTTATAGAATCAAAGAAAGTATATTTAAATGAAATAACTCCAAAAAAAGAGAAAACTCTAATACTAGATTTAGATGAGACTTTAATACATTCATGTACATCTAGGGAAAATCCTTAAGTTTATGTTACAGCAGTAGGAGACTTTGGAGAAGAAGCAAAAGTAATTTTATTAAATTATTTTAGATTGGAATTAACATACGTCCATATACATCATTATTCCTATCATCACTATCTTAACTTTATACAATTTATATTTATACAGCATCCTCATAAGCATATGCTTAAGCTATAATAAATTATTTGGATCCTAAAAAACAATATATTTCTGGTGTTTTGTCTCGAAATAATTGTATGGAAACTAAAAATGGATTTTTTATTAAGGATTTGAGATTGATTGGAAATAAATAATTAAAAGATATGCTAATAATTGATAATTTAGCTCATTCTTTTGGATTTCAGATTGAGAATGGAATTCCTATATTGGAATGGCATAATGATTAAAATGATTAAGAATTAAAAGCTCTCATTGATTATTTAAAGGAAGCTGTAACATATTCAGATTTAAGAGAGTACAATACAAATTATTTGAAATTGGATGAACTTATGGAATTTCATTTAGATGAATGATTATTAATTAATGTATTAATAAATTTTACCAGCTGCAGTCGGAACTTTTCTCACATCAGTCTTTGGTATTAAATTTGTTAAAGAAATCAGGACACTTTTGGTATTCTGATAGTTGTTTTGGATTGTAATGGAAAGCCGGAGCTCAAATCAAATAACCATATTAAAATGATAATTCAAATGGATAGATTATTGAAATTTTGGCGCGTTTTGTTAAAAGTTATTGTTTTATCCTTTTTTACGTCTATCTTAACTTAAAAGTAAATAAATCTATGAGTTATTTAAATTTTAGGATTACAGTTCGACATTTCAATTAATACTTATTATTGTTGGAGGCATTATTTTACCAAATGGTTTATCAGCACTTGCTTGGGAGATGAAACGCAAAGAATACATACTTATTTAGACTAGTGAACATGTAGCAAGTTTATTGATTCTGGCAATATGTGCAGAAATTTCATAAAAATCAACTTGATTAGAAATTTTGAAAATGATCATATAATATATATATATTTATTATATCAATTATTCTATGATATCATTGAATATAATAAGTCTTTGTAGCTTCTTAATATTGGTAGTAACCAATATTCATCTTTCCATTTAGCTTATTCACCAACTTCTCCGTTTTCATCATAAAGATCTCTCCACCACCATTCTGTATTCATCTTCATATTTCTTCTTAATTTATCCATTTCAACTTCATATTCATGAGTTAAACATTCTTTCATATCATGATTTTATGCCTAACAATCAAATGCAGCCCAAAAAGAACCGTAATCCTTTTCACATTGAAGTAAATCATTCACAGCTTTATGACATTTTCGTCTAAATTAGCTACTCATTCTACCTAGCATATGCATATGATAATCCTCTTAATTCATCCTCTCTTTTTCCTCTTAAAATATTCAATTACCAATTAGATGGCATAGGTTGTCTTGTTTTTATCACATAATCAGGTTCTGGATCTGCTACTGGAAGTGTATTAATGTCAACTTTATGATTTTTAGATTTATAAGAACCCATAAATATAATTTTAAAAATTTTAAGAAGAACTTATATAAATACTTTTGTATAGAAATCTTTTTTTTCTATATTTAAATTACATGTCAAAAACACAAGCAATTTAATTTTAAGGTGATTTGTAACCACAATATACAAATAAAACAAAATGGGGAGTACTGTTTGCATTTTGTTATCTAGCGTAATATTTTATAATAATTTTAGTTTTTCCAATGTTCTTGGTTTTGTAAGCTATTCCCCTATTTCTAATAATGCCGCAAACTACTATTAAATATCACTTAATGATCTCTTTTGGATTGGCAATATGTACTATATCACATTCTTTATTTTTGGTCCACTCTTTATTCCATTATTAGAAAAGAGATTAGACCTTTGTTTGAAATTAGCCTCAATTCTAACAACACTAGGAACTTGGATTGTTTGGGTAGCCTAATCTAATTATGTTGTCTGTCTAATTGGCTACTTCTTTGTGGGAATTAGTGAAGCATTCTATTTAGGTGTACCAGTTTGTATGTTTTATTATAATTTATTTAAAAAAAGATTTATCAGAAGTCTGGTTTACTGCTTATGATAGAACATTGGCAACATGTTTTGGTAGTTATGCTACTTTATCAGGTATCATGATTTCATACACATATTCATCCTTTTATTTCTTTGGTATTGAAGAATAACATGTTGTAGATAATAAAATCAATAATTTAAATTTAATTATAGCAATTCTTAATTCACTTTCAATTCCAATTTGTTTTATTTTAATAAAATATAAGAATTAATTAGGTAAACTAACAGAGGTATTCAATTTATAATTTTATTAAGGAAAATAATAAATTCTTTTCATAATTTTTCAATATATTTTAGAAAGAGGAATTTTTTCTTGATCTTTTAGCATTTTCAATATTTATTGGAATTTCATGGGTTTATATTTCTGTAATATCATTATAATTATATATTTTTGGATTTACATAATTGGAAGTAGGAATAACTGGTATCTTTTTTACTGGATCAGGAATTTTGGCAGGAATTTGGTGTTCATTTAAATTAGATTAAGAAGCTAAATAAGGTAAACAACCAAATTATGATATTTTCATAAAAATAACTACTTTAATTGGATTCTTTGCTCTTCTTCTTGAAGCATTTACAATATAATATTTATCTATTTGGGCATTAATTTTATTAAATATTTTCAATGGTATTGGTTTAAATGTTATTTATCCATTAGCTATTGAAGCATTTGTTGAAAAATTATATCCAATAAAATCTTTGATTGTAGCTACATGGGTATTTGGATTTGCAAATGTATTAAAACATATTTATATTAGTTATTAGGATTTGCTCTTAATTATCTTTTAATCTTGCCAGTAATTATGGAATATGGTCTTTGGCTGACTTTAGCTATTCTAACACCATTTGAATTATATTTTATTCTCTTTTATAAATCAAGATATCGCAGATTTGAGTTATCTAATTGATTAATAATGACTAATATTTAATTTTAGAACAAAAACTAAAAACATATATTAAAATTCAGATTAATCTATTTTATTCGAGAGTAAAATGTCTAAAAGCAATCAAGTTGAAATATTCTATAACGAATAAGTTTCACCCAAAGAGTCAAAAAGGATGAAATGGTTCGTTTTATTTGCTTATAGTTTCTTAGCGTAAACTTTTGATTTTCTTCATAGATTTGCCAATGTGCTTGGTTTTGTTAGTTATTCACCTGTTTGGTTAAATGCAGCTATATACTATGATGTAGAAGCTAACGATTTATATTGGATAGGAAACTTATATTATATAACATTTTTTGTATTTGGACCTCCTTTTATTCCTCTATTAGAGAAAAGACTTGATTTATGTTTATAAGTAGCCTCGATATTAACAGCAGCAGGAGCATGGATAATATGGATAGGGAAACAAAGCTTTTTTATGTGTTTAGTTGGATATTTCTTTGTTGGAGTAAGCGAGGCTTTATTTTTAGCAGTACCTGTTTGTAATAATTCAATCTTAAAGTTTGTTGTAGATTTATCAGAGGTTTGGTTTACTGCTTATGATCGTACTTTGGCTACATGTCTTGGAAGTTATGCTACACTAGCAGGAATCATGGCTTCATATACATATTCGTCATTTTAATTTTGGGATCTAATTGATCAAGAAATTATTAATATCAAAATTGAAGATATGAACTTTATTATTGCAATTTTAAACACAATTTGTGTACCATTATGTTTTCTTTTTATTAGAAACACTAATTAAAGAACCAGAAATGGTGAAGTATAAATATTAATTTAATTATAGGAAAATGTTAAATTTTTTTAATAATTCTTTGACATTTTTAGAATAGAAGAATTCTCATTGGATCTTTTAGCTTTTGCAATGTTTATAGGAATTTCATGGGTTTATATATCTGTTATCTCTCTTTAATTATATCCTTTTGGTTATACTTAATTAGAAATAGGAATTACTGGTATCTTTTTTACAGGATCTGGGATAATTGCTGGAATATGGATTTCATTTAAATTAGATTAATAAGCAAGATAAGGAAAATAACCAGATTATGATACTATTATAAGATACACTACTTTAATGGGTTTTTTGGCTTTATTAATATAAGCTTTTCTTATTTAATATTTACCTTTTTGGCTTTTGATTATATTAAATATCTTTAATGGAATAGGATTGAATGTTATTTATCCAATAGCCATTGAGGCATTTGTTGAGAAATTATATCCACTTAAGTCTTTGATTGTAAGCACTTGGATTTTGGGAATAGCTAATGTAAAATACACTAATAGACTTAGGTATTGGGCTTTGCTTTAAATTACATATTAGTATTGCCAACAATTTTAGAATATGGAATTTGGTTATCTTTATTAATACTTACTCCATTTTAACTATACTTTATATTATTTTATAAATCTAAGTTTAGACGATTCGAATTATCAAATTGAATTTTATATATAAATTATAAACTATTAGATACATGATTTATAAACATCAATTAAATAATATTTCAATGAGATCCGTCTTTAAAGTATAACGTTACTATCATCATAGAATTTCTATAAGTTTTCATATTATGCCAATATGGATTTGAGTTCTCCTCATGCATCCTTCCAAGTATTTCTAATTATAACTATCAAATCAGGCTAGAGATTTAAAAATTATTCACACTCAACACTATATAACAAAGCCTCCATGTGATCCTAAAATTATGACATTTGGTGCATTCCATACTGATCATCTATTAGAAATTGATTGGTCTGATAAAATGGGGTAAAATAAACACTGACATTTAGTTGGTCAAGACCAATGATAGTTCCATTTAAAAACTTTGAACTTCATCCATTCTCATCTTGTTTGCATTATGCAATAGAATGTTTTGAAGGCTCTAAAGTAAAATATAACATTATTTAAAAGGCTTATAAAGGACCTAATAATACAATAAGAGTGTTTCGATTAGATTGCAATATGTTTAGAATGAAACATTCAGCAAAGAGATTATCTCTACCAGATTTTGATGGACATGAATTGTAGAAATGCATAGAAGCATTAATAAAAGTAGATTAAGATTGGATTCCAGATAATCCTGGGTTTAGTTGTTATATAAGACCAACTTTGATAGCTACAGAAGAGGCTTTGGGAGTGAGAGCTTCTAGTAGAGCTAAATTATTTGTAGTACTTTGCCCTGTTGGACCATATTTTCCATCTGGATTAAAACCTGTTCGTGTCTTCTGTAATACGATAACTGTAATTGATGATATTTTATTTTTAGATACGCTCTTATCCAGGAGGTGTTGGAGAATATAAAGTTGCTGGAAATTATGCTCCCACTGTATTACCATTAAAAGAAGTTTAAAAGATTGGATTTCATTAAAATTTGTGGTTACTTCCAGATGGTTTAGTTTAAGAGATGGGTGTATGTAATTTGTTTTTCTATTGGAAAAATAAATAAGGAGAAAATGAATTGATTACTCCAATGCTAGATGGAACAATACTTCCAGGAGTAGTTAGAGATTCCATTTTAGTATTTTATTATTATATTAATTTTAGAATTTGGCAAAATAAATTAATAAGTTTAAAGTTATCGAAAGGAAAGTCTACATTTAAGAAGTTGTAGAAGCTATATCAGAAGGGAGAGTAAATTCTATTATTATTTTTAGATGATTGAAATGTTTGGATGTGGAACAGGAGTTATGGTATAACCTATTGAAGCTATAGGTTTTAATGATAAAATTTATGAAGTTAAATATAATACTAATTTGAATTCTGGAGAACTTACTCATCATTTATATTAATTATTAAATGAAATATAAACAGGTGAAAGATCACATGAATGGATTAGTATAATTTGATAATATTTATAAATTAATAAATTTATTCTTAATAATTCATCAAAACCTTGGAGATCATTATTTAGGGACTAACTAAGTGTTTTTCTGATTGTTTTTTGTTGATTTACTTTCAAAAAATAGTTACCCTTAACCTTAAGCCTTTGACAAGGAAGCAGCTATAGTACTATTTAGGAATTATACTGTTTGATTTCGAAAATGCAATTCCTATTTATGCTTTGTGTATTAAATCTTATAAAGATCTTTAGTTTTTGGGTATTTTTTGTTATCTTTATGTCTAGCATTCCTCAGCTTAGATATTAGAAATGCTCAAATACTTGTTAAATGATTAGCATCAGATTTTCCATTTTTAAATGTGAACTAATTTCTTTTTTCTATTTTAGATTTTGCAGAAAATGGACAAGGTATATCTATACTTAATGTTGGAATTTTTCTTATTTCTAAATGATTAGCACTCAAAGTAGCAATAGTTTAATCATTTAAACTAGTTGCTTATTGTAAATCCTTAATATTGATTAATTAATACTTAAGCATAATATCCTCTTGTTGTTTCTGCACCTGTTTTAGATCTATGATATTTAAGTTTTTCTGCTTAAAGTTAATGAATTTTTTATTTGAAAGACTAAATTTCATTTTTTTAATTTTATATATCTTCTTTCAATTAAGTATTCTCATTTATAAGATTTTTATTTAATTTATTCAATGTTGCAATTTCATTATCTTTTTATTTTGTTTATTCTGAAAAATTTGTTTCTCTTTCTATTAGTTGATCTTTGAATCATTAATATAGATAATTTTACTTTTTAATAGCTAGTTCTCTTTTTAAAGTTATTGCAGCTAACTTTCATAATTCTTTATTATATCTTTTTATTTTTCTTTATTACTTTATCTTGGATCTAACAATTCATCACAAGAATATAATGGATTCTAATCCTATTACAATTCAATCGTCTTATTACAATCCAGAATTGTTTAACAAATATGATATTGCTATCCAATTGATGCTAAATTTTAGTTGATAACATTTTCTAATGAGATAGGATCCATTTCCATCATTGGATTAGAAACACCATCACTTTTAGATGAATTATCTACTTATTAGATATATTAAAACACATACTATCATTATCTATTAAATGTTATAAGACTGCTGATTCATTTCCTTCATTTTCTTCATTATCTGATTCTAATGGATTTTTTGGACAATCTTCTTAATCATTATCTGAATTTGGCTAATTATCACTTATATAGTCTTTTGCATTAAAATCGCTTAAACTATCATTCAAAGGATTAGCTAAAAAAGAGTTTTACTTAGACATAATAATTATGATAATAAAAATAAAATTGTAAAAATAAATGTATTAGCATATTCAAATTACTTTTAATAAAGAGTTAAATTTTGTATTAGTATCTAATCTCTCATTTTTATCTTCCAAAATTTATAATTATTTGCTAGTATTTATACTATTTATTTTTTAATTCTCTTCTGGAATAGTAAATTATAGATTTTCTTTATCTTTTACACTTCTATATGTAGAAAGTGATTTTTAATGTTTTGAATTTCTTTTAATATCATTATTACATTTTTATGGTTTTAATGTTAATTTGCTTTATCTTGTTTATTAAGTACATTAACTATAAAATTACTCAGAATCATTTGAATTTCGAGATTCATTATATTCACATAAATTAAATGTATACTATTTTATTCCTTTACTTGAATGAATAGATTATGCTCTCTTTTGAGAAATTTTTGGTGAAACTAAATAATTCTATCAAAATATTATACATATTTCTTATTATTAAGATTAAGGACGCATTTAATTTTCTGGAGTAACACTAATCATAATATTTTATTGTCCTTTTTATTTTTTTTCCCATTCAGATTTACTAGGTTTCCTTTTTGTTACATTTCCAGATATATTATTCAATATACTCTTTTCATAATCATCAATAGAATCACTTAAAGCTTTATTGATAGCACTTAATCCTCCACTAAAATAAATTATTACAATAATAAATATACATATTATTAGATTAATTATTAGAAATTCTTGAACAATCATTATTCATAGTCTAATCCATTGAACTTGGTAATAATTTAAAAGAAGCATTACAACTTCTTGATGTTTAATTTTTTATTATCTATTCCATTAAATTACAGTATTTTTTTTCATATTCATTTTTAACTTCTTAAGCTGCTTTGAAACTCATTTAAGATTTAGATCGTTCTTTACATAATTTCTTTTAATAATCTTATCTTAATTCATCAAAAAGTCTACATTATAATTATATTTCATATTATTAATTAGATATGATTTTTTTACACTTATTTAATTCATCTCTATAATAATAATATAATTATATATATACATAGCTTCTTTTAATTTATTTAATAATTCTTAATTATTATTACTTCTTTAAGATATCATACCTTATTCCTGAATTTAAAATTTTAATTCATCTATACTATATTATTTTTATTTCAATTCCCTTTATAAATTATTTGATTCAGCCTTATGATTTTATTAAACTAAATTTATAATAAAATATTACTTTATTCAATTTAAAATTCATAATTTTCAATAATTGTTTTATTGTTCTCAAGTTCCATCTATAAAAATTCATTCTCTTTTTCAAGATGATCAATTTTATCTTACAATATTCTCTTAGTTTATTCTTATACTTATTTAATTCGATTCACTTATTCTTATTGATCTCTTATCCAATATTCTTTTTCTCTTTAATGAATTGCTTATAATTAAGCAATTTAATCCTCTACTTATTTATTTTTTATTTCTTATTAAGTATTACTCTTTTATTAAGCTAAACATTTTTGTAATATTTCATTCTCATATTATAACCCTTTACTTTCCTATTCAAATTATTTGATTTGCTTCATTAAATCTTAAAGTTTGCGTTTCAACATATTATTCTAATATAAATTATGAATATTCACTTCTTCCAATATTTCTGTATATGTAAATTCATTTGTTTTTTTTTTGTTTATGTCAACTTAAGCCATATTAGAAAAATTAATTTTAAAAAATATTACGTTAAATTATTTATATATAGACAAAAAAGAGCTGATTAAAACAAATATCATGAAGATTATAATTATTTAATCTACTTAATTAATTCTTCCTTTTCTGAAATATGCTTTTGAATTTCATTTTAATAGTGCTATAGCAGAGTATTAGTGCGAATAATAATTTATTACAACTAAGATATTATTTATTTGTCTTTATCCCTATTAGAAAGTAATTATGTTGTTTCAGCTACTAATTTTCTTCTTAAGATTTCCTTATTTGCACTTCTCATTCGAGGTTTAACACTACTTGACATTGTTGAATTTTACGAGAGACCAACTTTATGAAAAAAGTTTTATTAGAGAGATCCTTATTAATTTGGAGTATATGCGGCACTTGTGTCCTTGAGATATTGTTGAGAAAAGCTTTCTTGAATCAACATTTATGATTATGATTTCTGTTGTATTAATTTATTATAAGGACTAGTCTTTAATAATTATTATAATCCATGCACTAATATTTATAATATTTTTATTAATACTTGACAATTACTTATTTGATTTCTTTTGAGTAACATTATTGTTGCAAATTCCTGCATCCAACTAAGAACTTGTTAATCTTCGATGAAAATTTAATTATCTGTGCTTTTATGGTTCTGGACTTATTGTTTATTTTCTTAATTACTCTTTAACAAATGAAGGGATGTCTTGCTTACTTGAAATATTCATCATATAAAAATATTTGTAAAATATTTATATAAAAAATATATTTATTAACATAAAAAATCATAGTGCATCCATTATTATTATATCTCTAATGTATGCCTAAATTTTTTATATCTAAATTTCTAATATCAAAATAATGGAATTCCCTTCTTTCTAGTATAAATATAATAATTCTCTTTAGTTTACTTGTAAAACTTATAACAAAAACTCAATAACTTTAATTTACATATTGCATCAAAAATATTTTATTTACTAATCACAATACTACTTCTTTTGCAATCAGCTACACCATATCTACCTGAATATATCATAAAATATTCATAAGTAATATCAAAAATTAATATTTACATTAATATTGATATCATGAAGTATGTACCAGAATTTTCATTTATTTAATTACTCCAAATTTATGTAACTGTTATAAGTAAATAATTCTCAATCACAAATTACATTGCAAACAATAAAATTATGTATGTTTTTATTCCCAAATAATATCTAAAAGTCTAAATAGTAATATCACAATTAAATATATAACTATGAAAGAAATACTTACTTTACTTTTCCTTCTTTTTATACAGTTTAATCATATTTCTAATTATCCTTAAGAACACTATAACATACATCCCTGTCAATATAATTTTACATAAGGAATGATTATAAATCAAATAACATTCCATTGGAATTCGATAGATTACCTTCTATGATGCCAAATATAGAGATCCAAATAATAAAAATATTGATTGTATAACAATTGCAAATTTTGCTATTGATGAAAATTAATATTTTGTTGCTACTTTTTTTTTTCTAAAATTTGGTTATAACTTTTAAATAGGCACAGAAGATCCTTTGTTTATTTTTTCTATTATTTCATTAACACTTTCAGAATCTTTTATCATATTAATATTTACAAAAAATATTTAATCTTTAAAACAAATTTATCATAATTCTTTTAATAATATAAATTTATTCATAATCTAAAATCTTATTAAAGTTATGAAAATTCTTTATAAATCAATATATATATATATATATTATATAAAATATATATTAAATATTGTTTACATATGTACTTTTTAAAATAAAAAACTTAAAAATCAAAATCAACCTTATTTAACTGGTTTCACTTTCAAAATTTCTCCAAATCCAATAGTCCTAAAATTATAAATATTTTAATATACTTTCCATCATCTCTTAATGCAAATCTACCTAATTAAGTGATTGTTTCATATTTTTCCATACAAACAGGATTTTTAATCTTAAATTATTAAAATATTTTACTGAAATCTTAGCAATACCCTCATTAAATGATTTGAGGAAATTTTATTTTATTGATTTCTTTGTTTCAGCATCAATAACTGCTTCAACACATGAAATTTCTATCTCCTCAACAGCAGAATGAAGATGCATAATGCATTAATATCCTTCAGAAAATATTCTTCTACTTTCTGGTAAATCAAGAAGTCTAATTTTAGCTTAGAATTCCTAAGATACTAAACATGGATTTGATGTTAAATTGCACATCATATATCCTCTCTTTAAATCTTCTTCTTCAATATTTTTAACTTTTATTTTGATATTTTCTCCTGCTTTAGCATATTTCATTTTCTAATCTTTCATATTATATAATTCAACAATTTAGAAGGGTTGCTTTTTTGGATAAACTGAAACATCCAATCCTTCAATAATCTTACCAGATTCTAACTTACCATAAATGTATAATGATCCCATATCCTTAAATTTATCTAAGATTGGCATTCTAATAGGACCTTCTTCATTTCTCTTTGGAATATTCACATTATCAATTAAATCAATTAATGAAGGACCTTTATACCAATTACATTTAGATTCCTCTACTTTATTTTTTATATTAGCTCCAGATAAAGCATCAATTGGAATTACATAAACATTATCAAATTTGCATTATTTAAGTACAAATTCCTAAATATTTTATGATATCATATTAAATCTATCTTAATTCCAATCAATTGTGTCCATTTTAGTTACAATAATAATAATATGATCCACACCTAAACTTTTAGCTAATAATGCATGTTCTTAGGTTTAACCTCCTTTTTCAAAACCAGATTCAAATTCTCCTGTTTTAGCTGAAACTATTAAACCAGCTAAATCAGCTTAACATGCTCCCATAATCATATTAGGAACATAATTTTTATGTCCAGGAGCATCAGCTAGAATAAATCTTTTTTGTTTAGTAACAAATTATGCTTTTCCACATTCAACTGTTTTTCCTTTTTATTTTTCTTCTTCATTTTAATCCATAACATAAGCTAACCACCAAGAATCTCTATTATTTTATACTGCTTCTTATTCATATTTTTTAATATCTGCTTCACTCACTTCACCTAATTCTAATAATAATCTTCCACAAAGTGTAGATTTACCAGCATCTACATGTCCAATAAATACTAAATTGACTGGTTATCTTGTTTCATCAGGCTATGTTTATAATTCATTATTACATCTACATATTTTTACAAATCAACTTCTCCTTCTAATTTCACTACTTATTCTACTAGATTTAAAGATTAAGCTGGTTTATCTTTAGCTCTTTCTTAAGCATCTTTACGTTCTATAATAATTATTATTATTTTATACTTTAAATTGCTCTTTCAATTTCCTCTTATTTCTTTTTTCTTTTAGCTTCTTCATCAGCTTCTTTCTTTTTTTATTACTCTGGTTTAGGATAATTCTTATATTCATCTTCACAACTTGGATTATAAAAATTGATATATGCTGAATAGTTATTCCAAAATTTATCAAAATCTAAGAAATCTGGATTTTTAGGGAAAATAGGCATTTTTGGAGGATTCAAAGCAATTTCTAATGGTTTTGCATTTAAGTTTAACTTCTTCTTTGGACGAGCAGTAGTTGTTGTTGTTCCTTCTTTAGGTTATTCTTATTATTATTATTATTATTATTATTGTTATTATTATTATTATTTCTATTATTCTAATTGTTATTACTTCTTTTATTCTTCTAATTTTTATTATTCTAACTTTTATTGCTCTAATTTTTATTATTCTAATTTTTTTTATTATTCCAATTCAGGATTTACTGGTTATGTTGATTATTCCAATTGTTTAAGAAAAGATTCATACTCTTTTTCCTTTTTCTTATAATCTAGGTAGTTTTGCATAAGTTATTTCTCTGCCTCATTCATTTGATAAGCAGTATTGGTATTTAAAAATTCTTCCATCTCTTTTTAATATTTTGGTAAATGTTTGGCATAATAGGCTGCTGTCTCACCTAAAAATCTTTAAAACAAAATTTGTTTATTAATATCAAATGACTCATAATCTTCATGAGTAATTCCTGGATAAGGTCCCTTAGGTGGAGGTGGAGTAGAAGGTCCTCCTAAATAATAGTAGGCATATTCTTAATACATTTAAGGATCAAAGCCCATCTAACATAAAATATAATCTTACCATATTCATATTTGGATCAAAGGGGTATTAGCCCATTTATTAGCCATATTGATAATTCATATTTGAAGAAATTATTTATTAACCTTTATTAAAAAAATTTATGATTTTATTCAATTAAATAGAAACTTATGAATAAATTAAACATTGATTTTTAACAGTGATTTCTTTAATAATTTAAATTCTACTGTTGTTTATTGTCATCGTAAACTCATAAATTTTTATAAAATTTCTAGAAAAATATATAATAATCATTCAAATCTTAATTCCTTTGGTTATCAGTCTTTTTTTAAGATGTCCAATTACTTCATCCTTTGTTTAAATATATTGTTCTAACAATTATTAATTATATTAAGAATTCTCAGTAACTTTTTCAAATTCTTCTAAATCAAAGAACTTTTTATCACTACTGAAAGGCATTTCACTTATTATAAGTGAAGCTAAACAACTGGCTTACAATATTAAATTTTCTTTTGTTTTTTATTTATCTGATTCACATTTAATTCTTAAATTTTATAAAGTTCTAAATATCTAAGTATACAAATAAACAAAATAAATATCTTTTATATCTTATTATAAGTCCATATTTAAAAATTTTTATATTTTTGCTAATTCCTATAATAAATTTAAATCTATAATTTACTTTTGGATCAAATTTTTAAGCTGTTTTTTAACATTATGTGTATAAAGATTCTAATTCTTATACAACTATTTTATTATCATTTGTTAACTTTGTTTCTAGATTTCTTATTTTATCTACTTAATTTACTTTATCCATATCTAAATCAAAAAAATTGACTTTATCTTTTAATCCTTCTTCATACAATTTCCTAAAACTCACCATTCTTTTAAAACAAAGAAATAAAGGAACTATCCAAAAATTTTTTAATGCTTAAAAATATTTTACATTCCCTCCAACCATTTTACCTATTATATCATACTTTCTTATTTATATTAATATTATTACTTTAATTAATTTTCATATATTTAACTTATTCTTTTGGCTTCATTTTCATCTAATTTTACCTTAATTTCTTAAATGTTCTATTGAACTACTTATATATCATTTAAATTTATTCTTTTATTTGATTTTGGAGTATCTTCAATTTTTTATAATTTTTATAAATTTTCATTTTACTATATACTTTTTTCTTTTTATTATTTATTATCTTATAAGTAATTATTTTATTATAATTCTATTTTAAATTACTCCTTTGTTGTATTATCAGTTTTAGGAGTTGGAGGTAATTTAAATGAGTTTTATTTCTTTATTTTAGGTTATTTATAATATTCATCAACAGATTCAACTACAATACGTTAATCTTAGTTTGGAGATTTAATGATTTAATCTTCATTTTATATTCTCTATTATTATTACTATTATTATTATTATTATTATTATTATTATTATTATTATTATTATTATTATTATTATTATTATTATTATTATTATTATTATTATTATTATTATTATTATTATTATTATTATTATTATTATTATTATTATTATTATTATTATTATTATTATTATTATTATTATTATTATTATTATTATTATTATTATTATTATTATTATTATTATTATTATTATTATTATTATTATTATTATTATTATTATTATTATTATTATTATTATTATTATTATTATTATTATTATTATTATTATTATTATTATTATTATTATTATTATTATTATTATTATTATTATTATTATTATTATTATTATTATTATTATTATTATTATTATTATTATTATTATTATTATTATTATTATTATTATTATTATTATTATTATTATTATTATTATTATTATTATTATTATTATTATTATTATTATTATTATTATTATTATTATTATTATTATTATTATTATTATTATTATTATTATTATTATTATTATTATTATTATTATTATTATTATTATTATTATTATTATTATTATTATTATTATTATTATTATTATTATTATTATTATTATTATTATTATTATTATTATTATTATTATTATTATTATTATTATTATTATTATTATTATTATTATTATTATTATTATTATTATTATTATTACTATTGAGAGATAATTGCTTAATTATTTATTGATTATTTTTCTTAACAAAATGAAGGAATCTCATTTTTTTCTGTCATTTGAAATTGATATTGTTTATTTTACTAAATTTGTTCAACATTATCAATATATTTTTCAATTTCAAATTCATTTTATTTATTGTTCTTGATCAATACTACATTTTCTTAATTTCTTGATTAATTTTAACGTTATTAAAAAGAAGGCTGATAACTACAAATTTCAGAATTATCTTCATCTGTACTATTCTTTTTAGATTATTATTTACAATTCTAAACTTCATCTTAATATTATTATGCAATTATTGGATTTTATTTCTTAGTATATGGATTTTCAATAGGAGAATTTTAAAAAGAATATTACATTTATCTTTAATCTCTTGGTGTCTTAAACATCTATCGATTATTCTATAAATTATTATTAATTATTAATCTCTATTGATTTGCTGTATTACTATTTGATAATTCGATATTTTCTATACTATTAGTGCTACTTTTTCTTATAGAATTTCTTCTTGATTATGGTTTTCTGACTTATTTAATCTCTAAGTTATCAAATAATGATTATGTGTCAGAATAATTTATGGTTCGATTTGCTGGATATTCTTATGTAGATTTCTTATGTATTTAACCAGGTTGTTAAAGTTCTCTAGTAGAAGTTCGAAGAAGTGTTTTGAGTTCTTATTTTTAATCTTGATTTCTACTTGATTTTGGTCTTAATTCATGATTATTTTATTAGAATTAACCATCTTATTTTTCATTTAAAGATAATCCTCTTTAAATCAAAGTTGGTGCATTTGAAGATGCTTCGTATTATGATTAATTTGTTGTAATTGATATTAATTTTCTTTAAATTTATTTTTATTATTCTTGTATTGGTAAATATTAATCTCCCATTAATTATTATATTTAATTTTATTCATATTGAATTTCTTCTCTAGGAGTAGATCTATTTCTATATTCAAATTAATTTTCTAATGGTTTAGTAATAGGTTGTTTTTGATAATTACTTAAATGTTATGCTTTTCTTGAAACTGATCTTGCTTATGGACTAGATTATTATGTAATTTGTTCAATTTAAAATAATCTACAAGGATATCTATTTGTTGTACTAAATCCAGGACTTAATGATTATCTTATTTTTTAAAAATGTTCTTTTTATTAATTGCCATAAGAAATAATTCTAGTTTACATCATTGTTGAATTTCTTGATTATTATTTTTGACTATGGTTATATGGAGAGGCTTTTCTAGATGAATTTTAATTTAAAGTAATAATTTCTTATGGGAACATACTCATAGTTTACGTTTATTATTTTGTATGAATTGAATTTTATCTAGTTATTTTACTGTTTCTATCACTATAATTTTCTTATAAAGATTAATCTATATCATTCAAACCAAATGATATGCTAATAAAATCTCTAATCTCTTCCCATTTAATCTTTCCTGCCAACAAAGTATTTATTACATTTTTTCCTTTTAATTTTGCTTTATATTATGTCAAACTGTTAAATAGTTCTCCTAATTTTACTTACCAAGGCTTTTTTGCTAATTATTTTTACAAACATGCAAAACCAAAATCTATCAATGTTAATTTATCTTGGCTTCTAAATATTCTCATTAATGCAAAATCTCGATCTTTTATTCTTCCTTCTTAGTATTCTAAATAGTAATAATCATAAAGTGTGTAGATCTGCAAAAATGTTCTATAAAATAATATCAGTATTGTTATACTTTGGATGATCAACTTCCTAAGTTAATATTTAACCCTATAAACAATTAGTTAAGATGAAATAATAATGAGTCTCTGTTTAATGTATTTCAATAATTTATGGAAATTCAATTAACTCAGAATCTAGAGTTTCAGATTCAGGTATTTCAAATGGAAAATCTTTAGGAATTATTGTTGGCTTCTATGAGTATTTAAATAACATTTTAAGTTCTTCTTGGAAATGTTTGTTAAACAATTCAACCTTCAATAATGGTTACTAAAATATTATTTGACTAATTACACGATTCAATTATATTATGATGAATTTGTCTTCTTAATTACTGCCCCTATAAATTATGCATTCATTATTTTTTTCAACCAAATGATCTAATTTAAATTTTCCAATTTACATAGTAACTATCTATTTTATATAAATATTATATTAAGCATTTTTACAAAAATTATATACTTTCAAATAAAATCGAATTATATAAACTAAACTTAAATAAATCAATCATTCAAAATATTACTTATATGATAGTAATATTTAAATGATAAATCTTAAAGAAATAAAAAATATATAAAATCTTATTTTTATAGTTTTGCTATAATAATTGCAAAATTTTATAAACTCCATTCAATCTAAAATAAAAAACTAGCATATTAATTCTCAAAATAAGAAGAAAAACTCAAACAATATTTTTTTTTTAACTTTGGTAATTTAGTAATTTTAAATCCACTTATATTACTACTCTCATTATCTACATCATTTAATTAAGAATCTATTTTAAATCTAATATTAAGGATATATTATATTTGATGGTTTTTATATTATATTATAAAATTACTACTTTAACAGTTATGGACAGAATTATTATTTTTCTAGAAATTTCTAGAGAATTATAAATTTCTAGATTCTTCTATCTTTTGATTTAAAAAATGTTGAAGAATACAAGCAATCATTCAATTAAACAAATATATAAACAGTCTTATTTAAATAATGTAAAAAACTACTGATACAGCAATTGGAATTGATTTAGGAACTACATATTCATGTGTAGGTGTTTTTATTAATGATAAAGTTGAAATTATAGCAAATGATTAAGGAAACAGAACTACTCCATCTTATGTTGCCTTTACAGATAATGAAAGGCTTATTGGAGATGCAGCAAAGAATTAAGTTGCACGAAACCCATAAAATACAGTATTTGATGCTAAAAGGCTTATTGGAAGAAAATTTAATGATTCAACTGTTTAGAAGGATATGAAATTATGGCCATTTAAAGTTGAAGCTGGTTAAGATGATAAACCATTGATTGTAGTTAAATTCAAAGGAGAAACAAAAAAATTCCATCCAGAAGAAATCTCCTCAATGGTTTTAACAAAAATGAAAGAGATTGCAGAAGCATACCTTGGAAAACCAGTTAAAAATGCTGTCATTACTGTACCAGCTTATTTCAATGATTCATAAAGATAAGCTACAAAAGATGCAGGTTAAATTTCAGGTTTAAAGGTCTTAAGAATTATAAATGAACCAACAGCTGCATCTATAGCTTATGGATTAGACTCAACATAGAAAGGAGAAAAAAACGTTTTAATCTTTGATCTTGGAGGTGGTACTTTTGATGTTAGTTTATTGACAATCGATGAAGGAATATTTGAAGTCAAGGCTACATCTGGAGATACTCATTTAGGTGGAGAAGACTTTGATAATAGATTAGTAGAATACTGTTTCACAGAATTTTATAAGAAAAAAGGAATTGATCTTAAATAAAATGCAAGAGCTTTAAGAAGATTAAGAACTTAATGTGAAAGGGCTAAAAGAATTTTATCATCAGCCAATCAAACATCTATTGAGATTGATGCTTTGGCTGAAAATGAAGATTTTAATTGTACAATAACAAGAGCTAAATTTGAAGAATTGTGTTTGGATTAATTTAAGAAATGTATACCTCCTGTGGAACAAGTTCTTAAAGATAGTGGAATGTCTAAAAGTTAAATTCATGAAGTTGTTTTAGTAGGTGGCTCTACTAGAATACCAAAAGTTCAAGAATTATTAAAAGATTTCTTTAATGGAAAAGAATTAAATAAATCTATTAATCCAGATGAAGCTGTTGCCTATGGAGCTGCAGTCTAAGCTGCTATTTTAACAGGAACTGGCTCATAAAAATGTGAAAATATAGTATTATTGGATGTTACTCCATTATCTTTAGGTATTGAAACTGCTGGTGGTGTTATGAGTGTATTAATACCAAGAAATACTACTATACCAACTAAGAAGAGCTAGATATGTACAACTTATGCAGACAATCAATAAGGAGTGCTTATACAAGTTTATGAAGGGGAGAGATAGATGACAAAAGATTGTCATAAATTAGGATAATTTCAGTTAGATGGTATTGCTCCTGCTCCTAGAGGAGTACCTTAGATTGAAGTGACATTTGACATTGATGAAAATTGTATTATGAATATATCAGCTGAGGACAAGGCAACTAAGAAATAGAATAAAATTACTATAACAAATGATAAGGGAAGATTATCTAAATAAGAGATTGATAGATTAGTTAGTGAAGCTGAAAAATTCAAAGCAGCTGATGAAAAAATTAGATAAATAGTAGAAGCAAAAAATTCTTTAGAATCAACTACTTATCATGTTAAAAATACAATTAATGATGAACAATTTAAGGATAAATTTACAAGTGATGAAAAAAGATAATTAACAGATTTAATAGAATCTACTTAAAAATGGCTTGATTCTCATCAAAATGAGGAGGCAGATGCATATAAAGAAAAGTTAAAGGAAATTGAATCTAAGTTCCATCCAATTATGCAAAGAATTTATGCTTAATCTGGACCAGGTACTGGAGCAGAATAATAAATGCCAAATATGGATAGATAGAATGATTTTTAACATAATCCAACAATTGACTAAGTAGACTGAAAAAAATTAAATTGATTAATATTATATGTAATTATAATGTTAAATTTAAATAATTTATTATCATTAAGTTTTTATTTGGTATATTGTTTAACACAATAATTATACTTATTCTTCTATTGTTAATTATTGAAAGTAATCTTGCTTAACATTTTATTCAAAGCAATCGTATATTTTATTTAAACAAAATTTAAATTTTTCTTTATTTTTATTATTCTTTTGTTTTAATTTATCATATTTATCTTAAATTATTTTAAGTTTTTATTATAAATCTGTTTAATCATTTTGAACAGGACTTATTTTTTCTATTTTTTAAGACTTTTGAAATTCAAAATTTTGAAGTTTTATAATTCCTTCTATACATTTATTCATTAATGAATCCAAACTTTGTTTTAATTAAGATGTATCATCATTTATCTATAATTTATAACTTATTTATGTAAAAAAGTCTTAGTATTCTTTATTTTGTATTTTTAATTAATGATTTTCTTTACTTAAATGTTCAATTACAATTGATGCTTTTTTTAATTATTATTATGCATATTCAGTTTATTCTTAAAGTTTATCAATTTCTTGAATTCTCTCTTAAAAATTTAATTATATATGATTTAAAGGTAAAATATGAAGTTTCATTTTTTCAAACATTCTAAACATAGATCCTATTATTTCTTATATTGATTTATAAGCTCTCATTATAAATTAATTATCTGGATGTTCTCCAGAACAATAATTTTACATATTACTTAATAATTAAATTAAATTGCTTAATAGATTCTTTTATTTATCATAATTTTAACAATTTGTTTAAAAATTTTATTTCAATTCTTATTCTACAACTTAATCAATATGTTTAAATATTTTCATGTCTTTATTAACTACATTTATAAGTAAAGTTTTATAAAATTCTTAAAAGCAATTCTCTTGTTCCTAAACTTCATCTGGTATTAAGTAATCAAATGTAGTTTACTCTTAAATTAAATCTTAAGTGTATGAATTAATTAGATTATTTCTTTGTTTTTATATTTAAATTTATTTTGCTGTTAAGCTTTGTCTAGGAGTTGAAGACTTCTTTTATGATAACATTTCATTACTCCTTCCATTATTAATCCCTTTTAATTCATCTAAACTTAACTAATTATTAAAGTAATAATACATCTAAACTCCTATTTTTAATATCAGTGAAGGAATGGAGATAATAGTCACTTTTTGACAGATCCACAAATTTAAATTATAGATAATTTGATTTTTTTAACAATTCACGAAGTTTATTATTTTCTTGATCTAGTTAATAAATTTTTTTAATTAAGTCTTCATAATGTTCATCAGCATATTTAGAGGTTTCACTTTTAATTACTTTTTATCCATTGCTTAATGATTTTTTATTAGCAATTTAAATAAATAAATTCTCTTTATTAGCTGCTTAACGAAAACTTGGTGTTCTATTCATATTTACTGTTAATTTTATAAAATTTAATATATATATCAAATTATTGCTTTGAATACATCATTTTTATTTTAATCATTATTATAATTATTTATAAGAATATACAGATATGACTTAATGATATTCAGAGTTGAAAGTTAAATTAAATTGAGATTATATGCACAAAAATATGATGCGTCATTATTAAAATATTTATAATAAAATAATACACAGTTAACAGATTACAAATGGTTTTAATTTATATCAAATTTTATTTAAAAATAAACAATTTTATAATTAATATATATTAAAAATATGAATATCTTATTTTAATTGGGTTTATATGTGGATTTCATTATCGTAAATCTGAATAATAAAAAAATATGATAAAAATTGTTTAAGTTTGTGGAGGAATGAGGTTATTCAACTAAAAACTCTATAAATACTCCAAATCTGTACAATTAAAGTCAAGTGAAACATTTGGAGAAGGATTCTATAGTCAATAACTCTTTACAAGTTGTCTAGCAGAGTACGCTTATTATATAGAATCAAACAAGGAAGCAATCATCATAGATCCTTTAAGAGATATTCAACCTTATATGTAATATTTTATATTATCATAATAGAGACCTAGCAAAAGAAAGAGGAGCAACAATTAAATATGTTCTGTTAACTCACTTCCATGCTGATTTCGTAGCTGGTCATGTGAGTCTAAAGAATTAAACAGGAGCATAGATTATAATGGGACCAAATGCTGAAGCTCCATTTATCAATAAAATAATGAAAGATGGAGAAATGCTAAATTTAGGATAAATAAAGGTTCAAGCACTCCATACACCAGGTCATACATAAGAGTCTACATGCTTTTTATTACATGATAAAACTGGCAAAAAACATAGGTATAAATATTTGTCTAAAAATAGTTTATTCTCTGGAGATACTTTATTCTTAGGAGAGGTAGGAAGACCTGATTTGGCTGTAAAGACTGATTTGAGTCAATATGATTTGGCTATTATGTTATTTAAATCTTTAAGGGAGAAGTTAATGCCATTACCAGATGATGTTATTGTTTTTCCTGGACATGGTTAAGGTTCAGCATGTGGAAAGAACATTTCATCAGGATATAGTTGTACAATGGGAAATTAAAAGAAGAATAATTATGCACTTTAACCTATGGATTATGAAACATTCGTAGGAGAAGTAGTAAGAGATTTACCTAAACCTCCTCAATATTTCTTTTATAATGCTGGATTGAATAAGAATATTTTTACTTCAGATTTAATAGAGATTCTAAAAAAATCTAATAGAAAATTATCACCACAAGATGCCAAACTTAAAAATACAGCATAAATTATTGATTCTAGAAATTCAATTTCTGAAGGATTTATACCTGGATCTATCAATGTCCCATTACAAATTCCATTTGCTCATTGGGTTGGAACTCTATTACCTCACAATAAAGAAGTTATTATAGTTTGTGAAAAAGGAACAGAAGAACAAACTATTATGAGATTATCTAGAATAGGTTATGATAACATTTTAGGATACATGTATTTTGAAGATTGGTAATAGGCAGGAGAAAACATAAACAAACCAACTGAATTAGAAAAATAAGATTTTTTGAAAATCTCTTAATAGGGCTAAGGATAAATTATTGATGTAAGATCAATGGAGGAATGGAGAAAAGGCAAATTGGATAATGCTAAACTTTTTCCTCTTAATGAACTATAAAGCAATGTTGAAAAACTAAATAGAGATTAATAAATTAATATTTATTGTGGGACAGGATAAAGAGCCAAAATCGCACATACTTTATTAGTGGCTAATGGATTTAAAAATGTTTAGTATTGTAAAGTCGGATATGATGAAATTATTAAGCCATGAATTATTAATATTATAATAGTCTATAAAAAAAGTTCTTATATGTTTCAAAAATATGTTTTAATTCCATTACTTTCATAAGTATGTTAAAACAGAATAATAAAATTGTTTAAAATAAACCAGAAATAGAAATAACAATTTTGGATATGAAAGAGGATTATTAAACAAATTGGGGGGAAAAAAGCATATTGTTTGACCTATATATTGTAAAAATGAATTAATTAATGTCTCTGATAGTTAGTAAGCATAATTTATAGAAGAGAACTATTCAAATTAGTTAAGCTAGAATAGTTTATATAAAGATTGCAAAAGTCCTTGATGTAAATTTCATCAATACTTTCCAATATTTACCTTTCAATGAATAATGTTTTTGGCTATCCCTTTCATTAATTAAATATTAATTGAAAATAATTAAGAATTGGATCAACTATTATAAAGAAGGATTTTCTAAAGCTTAAAAGAGACCAATGAATTTGAGTTCTGAAAAAAAAATAATAGAAAGCAAATAAAAGGGAAAGAGCATTTATTTGCATGACCAGAATTAAATAGAATTATGATTTAATCAATCAAGAGAACTAAGGATGATATAGATATAATAAAATAAAACAATCAAATAAAAATTGTCAATCCTTTAAATTGCTGAAAGAGATGATTTTTTGGGATTCTAAGTATACAATTTTAGAGTTGTATATAATTTTACAATTAGAATCATCCTCATAAGACTAATTTCAGATGACAAAATCTAGAAATAAAGAGAAATATCTTTCAATATTTTAAAAGTAATTGAAAAAGTGATTAATCATATTTATGATCAAAAATTTAGAATTTATTTAAACAATTATTTTGAAAAAATATTCTTATTACTTTTCAGAAAAATGAAGTTTATAGGTTTAATCAAAAGCTTAGATGCTTTTACACTTTTATTTGTCATTATTTATACTTTAGATTCAATAGGCTTATATTATTTTAATAAAAATAAATCAAATTAGTAAGGAAAACAGTTATATAAATTATCGGAATTGTTAATAAAAATTATAAAAGAAATATTTTAAAATTAAGACTAGTGCTCTACTTAACCTATATAAAGGGCATTTTAAATAAATTAATTATTTAAATGGCAGAAACACATTAATAGAAAAAGATTTAAGTATTAATTGCAGCATCCGGAAGAATTTAAAAAGAATATTAATAGTATAAAAATGAAATTAAACTATTCGAAAACATTATATAAGGAATAGAAAATAATGAATAAAACGAATCATATATAAAGAAATATGTAACCAATTATTTTTATTATAGAATGAATTATTAGTTGAATCAAAAAGCATGTTGCCTAATACATTTTTAAGATTGGAAGAAAACAATTAAAACTGATTGATTTATTAGCCGAATCTGGATAGATAAATGAGCAACTAAAAGAAGAAGCATTATAATGCATAGATCAAGCCTAATTGTTCCTTAATTTTATAAATCCTGTTATGATTTGAATATTATTTGTCTCTAATTATTATGAAATCCTTAAAGATGAGATACAAAGATACTTTATATCAATATGAGTCAAGTTAGATTCATAAAGAGGAAACTAATGTTATTTTTGAAATAGAGAATGATAAATATTTTCAACCTCATTATGGAAACAACTTCATGCTTAGATTTTATAAAAGTCAGCCTTAAATACTAATAGGCTCAAAGTGTCATAATGTGTTTTATATGTAGGACCTTTGAGTCCTAACATAAATATTTCTCTTAATATTGGAATTTATTTTATTAGTTTTATCGTCCTCATTAAATCAGATATCTGATATAGTTTAGGATCAATAATTAGTGTTTTAGAATTGGTGATATTCTTAGTAACAATTTTCCTCAAAAATCTTTAAGTCTAAATTTTAGTTAATTCAAAAATTGTTTGATCCTGTCAACTATGCATATATGGAACATATCGTTGCTTTTAATGGGATATTTGTATAAGAGGGTATAATCATTATTATTCTTAATAAAGCATCATGGAATTCTAAATTTTCTGCTTTTATTTTGACCTTTTTTTCTTGCCTTTATTTTTATCATGATATTGAATTAATTCTAATTTATTATTTATCAAATTTTTAGTTGCTTATAATGCAAAAAAAAAATATAGAATTTTAATAGAAATTAAATATGGAATTAAATTTTGATTTGATTATTTATAATTGTTAAGAAAGTTATGGTAATAGAATTATAATAAATAAAATATCTTTTCCAAATTTCTCATGAATTAACTTGAAATGAGTGATGAAGGAGTTGCAGAACAAATTGTAGAATTATGTGAGCAAATCAATGAAGGGATCTGGAATGATGAATCTGAAATTTTAGAGTCGTTTAAAGAAATATTTGAAAATTTGAATGAGTAAAAGTAAAAAACTGCTCTTGTTTACATTAAGAATAATTAATCAACCTAAATATATGTTAAGAAACTTGAATTGTAATTCTTAAATACAGAAGCTCATTAACCCTAAATAGAAGAGGTAATTGATTATAAAAATATATATAAATAAATAACTCATCAACATACAGATTGGTCATAATTAATCAATCTCTTAAAATAAAAAGAATTCTGTGAATAAAATAATATTAATCCTGTAATTATAAATAATTTTGAAATTCTATAAAAACTTAAAGTAAAATTATTCAGCCTATTAAAAATAAGTGAACTAACATAAATTAAAGAATTTGGATATCCTTATCTGAATATGTTTAAAGTTTTATTAGGATTTATTGAAAAGGATAATGATCTAGATGAATCAGAGGCAAAAAAATTAGAAATGATTATTGGAGCTTTATTAGAAAAATAAATAATGTAATTTTTAGAATATGAAGATAATTTATTTTAATCTTAAAACTCTGAAATTATCAAAAAAATACTCGTTGCTATATAACAGGAAGGAAAAGTATATAAAGATATTTCAACTGAATTATGTTCTCTCACCTTTGATTAAAAAATGTTTATTAAGATATGTACTATTCAAACAAAGGAAAAAGCATTAGAAAATATCAGAAAATAGATTTCATTGTTATTTTATTGTGAGAACTTAAAATGGGAATAAAAATTGGAGATGAAAAATATAGATTAAAATATTCTTAAGTATCATGGATTTGAAAGTTTATACTTTAGCATAATCTTCTACTTTTGGCAATAATACTGTTATCAAAAATATGTTGAATTGAATCAATTTCAAATTAATTTAAAAAAATTGACTAAAATTGAATAAAAATCTAAATTAATAAAGGGTTTTATTTCTAAAGCAAAATAAAATAGTTAAGATTAAATTTATCTGTTTATGATCCATCATTCAATACAATTTTCATCTGAAAAAAAAGAATATATTATTGATGAAGAAAAAATATAAAACTATTATGAATTTTAGCAAAATAATTATAATTAAATTTGTACTGTATTTGGACGCAGAATAGAAAATTTTTTATAAACTGATTTATATTGTTAATTAAACAATTTAAGATTTATACCTTTATTTAATTTGAGAAAGATAATCTAATAAAGTAAATAAAATGAATATGTTGATCAAATTCAAACCAAACAATAAATTGGAATAAATTTAGATAATGATATTACTTAAATACAACAAAATAAATCAATAAAACAATGTTCATAAGATATTTTCAATCAATGTATTGAGAAAAATTTAACAGAATAATAAGATTTTATTATTTCACTGTTATTTTAAAATCCTTAAAGAGAATTTTTTAATTAAACGATCAAAGATTTAGTATTAAAATTTATATTTCAGCAAAGTGATGACATTCATACATACATAAATGAATTAATAAATTAAGAATAACATTTATCATTTGGAGAGGTTGTATTATTATTAGAATTGTTGAGTCCAAAATTTGAAAAAAATATAATAAGTATCATAAAACTCTATAAACTAAATTAATCCTTGAAACTTATTGGGGTAGTATTTTGCTTAATTTAATTTTTTACAGTTAATTAATAATTAGTAGGAAAGCAAGAAAAATTATCAATAAAAGAATCATTATAATTATCAGAAGAATTAATCATGTAGTTATTATAATTAAATGAAAAAGAGTTACTTTCACTTAAAATTCTGTTTGGAAAGAAAAAATTCTAAATACTTTTAGTGGCTGTAGTCAATTAATATTTAATTTCAAACATTAAAGCTAAGACTTATTACATGAAAATTCTAAAAATATTAGTCCCAATATGTCCAGGAAAATATCATGTTTCAATTTAAACATTCAGAATCTTATTTTTCAGTATAAGACCTGGGTTATTGAATTACTTATTCTCATTAAGTAAAAAAAAAAACATTACACAAGATGATTTTAAAAAAACCTTAATAATAATTTTTACAATTATGGTAAATAAGAATCAATAGACCTCAAAATTTATACTGTCTAACCTACATTATTTCTTTACTCAGTCTTGTTATGATTTCGATTAGATTTGGAGAACTAGACAAATGTAAGTTATGGATAAGCATAATTTTAAGTTTAACCTAATTAAATTCTTAAATTCCAGATACCTGATCAAAAGTTTGGTGGAAGAATGCTTTTCTCTATTTAAGGAGAATCCTCAATTTTATAAGGAATACCTGGGAAAAGTAAATTATTTTAAAAATATCTAAATACATTCTGTTTATTTTCTCCAAAAAAATATAATTGATTAATGCCCATCAGATGGTTGCTTTTCACTTGAAGATTTCAATATCTCATTAACTGAAACATCATCCCAATAAGAGAAGAAAATTGTGTAGGATTGGATGGAAAATATAAAGGATACACAAAAATTTAAATAACTAATTCCGTTTTTTTTTAACATTATTAAGAGAGGGGAGTCATCAAAAAAGTTATTGTCAATAATCACAACATTCAAAAACTAAAATAAAGAGTCTATAAAAATTATCAGCAATATGAAAGCATTGTTTTAATTATTTTATAACAATTCTAATGATGAACTTAAGGTTATGTTACTTAAACTCTACCAAAATATGTATCCTGTCCCTTTAATTTTTCAAAATCCATCTTTATAAACTGCTAAAGAAGAAATTGATTTATATGGATTTAATGAGAAACTGTATTATGTATTTTAAACATCTTTTCCTATCATTAATTTTTCCTTAAGCTAAAAGTAAGCTTAAATAGGGAAGACAGAGTTAATAAATTAATTGTTTTACTAATAGGATAAATTTGAGACATAGGATACTTGCCAATTAAATAACAATACTATTGATATAATGTTTGATACATAATTTAATGGATCAAGAAATTTTAGTGTTGCTGATGCTCATGGCTAATTTCCAATAGAATTATTAGTTAAAATTTTGCCATTATTCCGAATGTGGATTCTACAATTTGATTCAGAATATGAACTTATTGAAAATTATAGAAAGTTATAGGAAATCAAGAAAAGCCTGCCTAAACAAAATTCTACAATATGTTTTATTATAAGAAATTACAAAGGAGAGTTAGAAGAGAATATTATTAATGAAGAATTAAAGAAAAATTTAGAGCAGTTGAAAAAAGATGGAATAAAAGTACATAAAATAATTGATTTGGCTTAGAAAGGTTTGGATAAATCTTTAAAAGAGTAAGAATTGTAACTTGCCTAATCTTTTATTTTCAATGAGATCACTAAAGTAAATTAACAATAATCATTAGTCACTAATTAAGATTTTTTAGGAATAATATAAAAATTTGATTCAAAAGAAAAAAATATCTCTCATTAATTTTTATAAGACAGGGTTATCATTAAAGATTTAGAAAATGAACTAAATAGATTGGTTTAAACACCTTTGGGATTTTATGATTAAGAAGCTTTTCCAATCAGATCCATAGAATACCAATTAAAGATTTTAAAAGAAAAAGAAATCTAATTGATTCAATAAAAAAATAATACAAGTTAAATTTAAACAAACAACTAAAAGGAGTTTGACAAAAATCAAGATAACAAAGAATATGAAGAAACAAAGTAATAAATAATCAAATTAGAAGATTCAATTAAGAACGCTGAATTATCAAACCTTTTAAATATGTTTTGTAAAATATTTGACTAAAGCTCATACTATATTTTATATTTATAATTTACAGATTAAGTTAGAAAATTTAATGAACGTAACACTTATGAATTGTAGGAAAAAAATCAAATTATTAATGAAAAATTGATGAAACTTAAAAAAGACAGGGATTAAATAAAGCTTAAAAAGAATGAAACTAATAAAGAAGCTTCATCAATAATAAATTATGATGGAAAAAATAAAATATATAAAAAATAACAAGATGAACTAAAGCAGGAACTAAAATAAAATTTGGAAAATATAGCATTCAGAAATATTGGGATAGAAATGTTTTGGAGGGAGCTGATTGCAATTAATTAAAGAAGTTTGGCTAATAAATAAATTGATCCAGCAGATAAAGTATATGAAATGATTAAAAAAGGGGAACCTTTTGAATTTCTAGACGGAGATTCTCTTTAGATAAATGCAAAATTTTTGGATGAACTTAAAAATAAATTCACAAATTCGGGAAAAGAGAAGGTTTTAGTATTAAGTGTTTTAGGACCTTAAAGTTCAGGAAAATCTACTATTTTAAATAAAATATTTGGATGCCATTTTTGGACAAGTGTTGGTAGATGTACAAAAGGTATTTATTTAAATTTGTTGAAAATCTAATTTAAAGAATACTTTAATAATTTATTTGATTATATATTAATACTTGATTCAGAAGGATTATAGAATCCAAATCAGATTGATCCTGAGTTTGATAAAAAAATTGCTCTTTTTGTCTTGGCAATAAGTGATATCATTTTGATAAATGTTAAAGGAGATATACATCAACAATTTAAAAATTTGGTTGAAATGTGCATTTTTACTTTAGTATCTATGAAATCTAATCTCTCTTCTATAAAGTAATTAAGTTGGTGTTTTAATTAAAATAACGATGCTAACAATTTTGCTCCATTTTTAAACTAAATACAAGGAATTGCCAATAGTTTAAATTTAGAATATAATAATGAGTAAGATGCAAAAAATTAAGCCATTGATTATAATGAATTTTTAAATATTTCGAAAGAAAATATTTAAATATTAGGATTTGCATGTATTGAGAAATTATGGAGAAAGAATGAAAGTTTAGGTATTATTAACGATTGGAGATAATTAATAATAAATGAAACATTTTCCGAAGAAGCTTATCTTTATGGAATAAGAATGATTAAGAATTTTATAATAAAGTTTTAATCATAAACTGACACCTCCCAAATGTAAAGTTTAAGTTTGTTCATATAAAATATAAATACTAATTGGTAAACTATTTGTAATTTACCAGATTTATTGGAATTTGCTGAATTAATCTAATACAAACAAGATTAATTGATGAAAAATAAATTTGAACAAATTTATGATGATTAAAATTTTAGTTTTAAGAATGAAATAGCAAATGAAATAAATGATAAAATTCGCAGTAACCCTGTAAAAAACTTGACCTTTTTTAATAAAATTTAAGATGAAAAAAATGAAGATCTTAGAATAAGGTTTAGCTAAATTGAACAAGATATATAAGATAAACTACTAGCATTTAAATAAGATAAACAAATTTAAAAGAAGATTTACTTGAAATATTTAAAGCAATTAAGCCAACGTATAAATAGTTCCTTAAAAGATTCAGAAGTAATCGTATTTGAAGAAATAAAAAATATTGAAAGAGAGTATCAAAACAAAAGGGGATTTAAGTCACTTGATGACTTTATTCTTGGAATTAGCAAAGATCCAGATTAATTAGCTTAATTCAAAGAAAATGAGGGTGAAATTAAAGCTGCATTTAATAAATTATGGGGGGATATTACAAGAGAATCAGAGCAAAAGCAAAGTGAAATATTACAAGAATATTCTACCAAGCAATATTAATGCATTTCTTCTTCATTCAATGAATACAAATTAAACACATAAAATGAATAATTATATATAACCTCATTTCTTGAGAATATTAATAATAATTCCCCTTTTCGATAAGATTTCGATGAAAGAATGTAAATTTATAATATTTTTGAAAAAGAATTAAAAAGTTAGGTTTAATTTCGACCAATTTTTAACACAAAAGAAACAATGAGATATGGAGAGGTATTCCTTTAAAATTTAGAAGATCGGATGAAAAGACCTAATACTAAATATGATGTAATGGATATCAAAAATTATTACTAATTTTAAATCAAAGTTTATTATGTTGAAAAAAAAACTTTGGATGATTACATTAAAAAAGATAAAAAAGATAAAAAAGAGGGATTNTTTAGAATATAATAATGAGTAAGATGCAAAAAATTAAGCCATTGATTATAATGAATTTTTAAATATTTCGAAAGAAAATATTTAAATATTAGGATTTGCATGTATTGAGAAATTATGGAGAAAGAATGAAAGTTTAGGTATTATTAACGATTGGAGATAATTAATAATAAATGAAACATTTTCCGAAGAAGCTTATCTTTATGGAATAAGAATGATTAAGAATTTTATAATAAAGTTTTAATCATAAACTGACACCTCCCAAATGTAAAGTTTAAGTTTGTTCATATAAAATATAAATACTAATTGGTAAACTATTTGTAATTTACCAGATTTATTGGAATTTGCTGAATTAATCTAATACAAACAAGATTAATTGATGAAAAATAAATTTGAACAAATTTATGATGATTAAAATTTTAGTTTTAAGAATGAAATAGCAAATGAAATAAATGATAAAATTCGCAGTAACCCTGTAAAAAACTTGACCTTTTTTAATAAAATTTAAGATGAAAAAAATGAAGATCTTAGAATAAGGTTTAGCTAAATTGAACAAGATATATAAGATAAACTACTAGCATTTAAATAAGATAAACAAATTTAAAAGAAGATTTACTTGAAATATTTAAAGCAATTAAGCCAACGTATAAATAGTTCCTTAAAAGATTCAGAAGTAATCGTATTTGAAGAAATAAAAAATATTGAAAGAGAGTATCAAAACAAAAGGGGATTTAAGTCACTTGATGACTTTATTCTTGGAATTAGCAAAGATCCAGATTAATTAGCTTAATTCAAAGAAAATGAGGGTGAAATTAAAGCTGCATTTAATAAATTATGGGGGGATATTACAAGAGAATCAGAGCAAAAGCAAAGTGAAATATTACAAGAATATTCTACCAAGCAATATTAATGCATTTCTTCTTCATTCAATGAATACAAATTAAACACATAAAATGAATAATTATATATAACCTCATTTCTTGAGAATATTAATAATAATTCCCCTTTTCGATAAGATTTCGATGAAAGAATGTAAATTTATAATATTTTTGAAAAAGAATTAAAAAGTTAGGTTTAATTTCGACCAATTTTTAACACAAAAGAAACAATGAGATATGGAGAGGTATTCCTTTAAAATTTAGAAGATCGGATGAAAAGACCTAATACTAAATATGATGTAATGGATATCAAAAATTATTACTAATTTTAAATCAAAGTTTATTATGTTGAAAAAAAAACTTTGGATGATTACATTAAAAAAGATAAAAAAGATAAAAAAGAGGGATTAATTATTGATTTAATAAAAATATTAGAAAGATCTGAAAATAATCAAAATTAACCAAAAGGGAAACAAAAATAATAGTAAGCAGATTAATATTTATACTAATGTTTGGATGTAAATTCATTTGGTTAATAATATGAGAGTGTCAATTCTCAATTTTAGTAATATGAGAATGTAAATCCTCATATTTAATAATAATTTAATGTCAATACTCAGAATTAATAATATATGAATGTCAACACTCAGGTTTAAAAATTATTGCTACTATTGGACATATTCAAAATCAAATATGATTCAAAACTTAGGATAGATTTAGTAGAGACAATACAGGATCCTTAATGGTGGAAAATTTGGTCTAGTTATAATAAGTAAGTGATAAATGCTTTTGAAAAATTTTAAGAGTCTTTTAAAGAGTTCAAAAAATAAAAGTAACCCTTAATGGATTTTACAAACGACACATTTATAAAAAATATTAAAGAATACAATAAAGGATTAGAATTAAAGACTGGTTAATATATTTTTTCTGCATTAAAAGAATTAGAGGAATTTATTTAAAATTTTGAACATATAATAATTTATAGGGATATGACAATAATTCCTAATTCTTCTAGATATAAGTAATTAGAATCCAGTTTAAAATACATTTAGAGAAAGGAAAGTAGTTTTTAGGAGATTTTTAGACTTAATTTTATAAATTGGTTTTAAACAGCAATGTTTGAAGAGAACTAAAAATTATAGTAAAATGAAAATTGCTAATAGAATGGGTTTTCAAAATTTCAGTAGATTAATAGTTGGTAAATGATGTATTTCTCAATTTATGATGCAATTAAATCAGAAATGACAAAGGCTCATCAAGAAAATGATAAAAAGGACAACTCAGATAGTGAGGAGATATCTTAATAAAACACAAGTTTGATAAAAATTATTATGTCTAAAATAGAGCAAGAAATAATAAATTATAATAAGAGCTTTGCCAATTTTGGCATAATATTAAGTGGAATTGGTGAGAGATGCATATATTATTATTCCATGTTAATAATTTGGCGATTTACATGCTACAAAAAAGGAAAAGGAGTTTAAGAAAGTATATAAAAATTTGAGAGTCTAAAAGAAAATTAATTATAGAAATTTATTGCTGATATTAAATAAAATAAGACTGAATAAAGTAAGCTAAAAGCTGAGGCTTTTATTTGTAATTTTTATAAAAGTTATATCTAATATTTTTATAGAGATAATTAAACAACTTTTGGTACTGAAATAAAAAATAAAAACAAAATGACAAGCACAGAATTAATTAAGCTTTTAGACAAGACTATTTTAGAAGATTATTAAAAAGACAATTAATTAAAAAAATATTCAGATGAACAAATAGTATAATATATAACTGATTAAACTTAATTTATTGAAAATTATGTTAAGAATGAAGTTGACAAGATAGAAGTTGAAATTAAAGATTTGTTTGAAAATAGATTAAGAAAAAACCTAAACTCAATTTTAGAAAAAATTAATGCTAATGTATAATAATTAAGATCTCACACTGATATTCAAAATCCTCCCATAAAATCAAAAGAGTATTTTGTAAATAATGAGAATGATAATAGTAATGATGAATTTTATGAAAGTAAACTTTTTGATTTGATAATATCATGCCTACTAGGTGGATAATAAAAAATGAGTAAATTTTAGATTTAGAAAGAGTACGAAGAAATTTTTTCTATTGATTCTTATTAAAAGATAGAAGTTAATATTTTTGATAAATCTAAATTTTAAGAATCAGAATTATAAATATAACTTTTACAGCCTTTTGCAACTGAATTATCAAAATAGTTAAATATTCATATTTAAAAAGCAAAGAATGAAAGTTTATCTTTGGAAAAATTTAATAGTTATTAAGAACTATAAACTATAAAATTAAATATGATTGGCTGTCGTCATACTTGTCCTATGTGCAAGCGTAAATGTGATTAATCTTATTCAAATGACCATAAACATAAATGCTCAAATGGTCATTAACTTAGAGGTATCTATTATTTTATATTGTTAAGGGATGAATGGAGTTTTAATTGAAAATACTCCTTCTTTATTCACTTGTGATGAAATGGATGATGAATGCCTAATTGAAACTCTAGAAACAAAAGTAAGAAAAAAATGGAAAGATATAAGAAAAATATATGATGATTGGATATTTAAAGGTCTTGATGAAACAGATTAATAAACTATTAAAGAAAAGATGATGAAAGTATGGAATTAAGGGACTGGGTAAATGATATGTTAATAACTAAAAACATTGTTAAAAAAAGACATCAAATTTGTTCTAAAAAATAATTTTTAAGATGTAATTAGGTAGCCCAAAATTCATTATATTTTTATGCTTGATGATTCTGGGTCTATGAGAGGAAAACGTTGGGAATATGCAAAATCTGGTTGTTTAGGTTGCATGCTAGAAATATAGAAAAATTTAAATGCAAGAGTCAGCGTTATTATTTTTAACTCATATGCTAGAACTGTTATCAATTGTGAAAGTGTAAATCTGGTTGAAATGGAGAAAAAAATATAATTGAGTGGTGGGGGTACCGATTTTGGGAGAGCATTTTAAGAAACATTTAATTTAATTATCCAGCACTAAAATGAGGCATTTGAAAAGTAAATATTTAGAAATATATAGAACTGAAATATTATTTTATACTGATGGTGAAGCAGCTTATCCACAATAAATTAAACAATTTAAAGAACTTCCAGAGCATTAAAAAGCTAGAATATTTCTTCATTGTAGTAGCGAAGAATCAAATGCCACAACATTATAAATGATTGTAAATGAATTGAATGCTTGCCTAATTAAATCTGAGTTGAAATAAAAGTTTTAAGTAACAGAACTTTAAAAGACTTGGGCTGAGATCGTAAGTAGAGAATACCATAACCTAAAGGGTTGACCTATTATAGTTCAATAAATAATATTTATATTTTATCTAATTATCACCTTGCAGAAGGTTAGTAGAAATGCCTAACCGCATCTGATACTCTTATACTTATACTTGTTTAATTCATCTCAGGGTTAGTTTTTACTAATTACTGATTGCTTTTATAATTACAATGGTTATGGAAAAATGGACATTTTTGGCTATGTATAATGTCTCTTTTTTTCTCTCTATAAGAAAAGCCTTAAATTGGATTAGGATTTTACAATTCCAAGGGTTTACGAAAATTCAACTACATACTAGAAGATCAAATTAAATTATTCCAGATAGTTAAGTTAAGTCTGACATAGAAAATTGTTACAATAAAGTTTTAAAATTAGTTACAATGTTGAAATTGATGAATAGCCAAAATAATAATCATAGAAGGCTTTATACGATTAAATTTTTAGTTTACTTTAATAAGGTAAAACTAAAATAAGATGATTAGAATAGAGATTGTCAATAAAGAAAGCAAATAAATGGCAAATATTATTCTTATAAATAAATTAAAAAGAGAAGATAATTAATAGTAGTTGAGCCTGAATCTATAAAACTTGATCGTTCAATTTATAAGACAGAATTCAATTGTTTATTAGAATTATTCACAATTCCCACTAAAATCATGAAAGAGAACCTAAAAAGTAAAAACCAATATAAAATTCTAGCAGTTAAATAAATCCATTTTGTCGTTCTCTCGTATTTAAGGAATAAATAAAAAAAATAAAATTCTATTGGCCTTAAATAACCTCAAATGAAAATCAAAAATAATACATTTTTCCATTTTATTGTTTATTTGATTTATTAATTTGTTATTTATTTAATAAGTAATGAGACTTCTCCAGAAAAAAAAGAGAAATAACTTCATGAAATGAGAAGGAGCTTTTGGCAATTAAGATTTGAAAGGGAACACATTATTGAGAAAGAAAATTAATGAATTTTCATATAATTCAGCACAAGTACTTTAAAAAAGAAATTTACCTCTTTACCTAACAATTACTTTTTCAATTTTCTAAAATGGATGGATGAGGGATAAGATTTTCAAAGTTGAAATAGCATGAGTAAAACTATATTTTAGTAATAAAGATTTTGATATTCATTTGAAAATTTTCCAATTTGTAAAAATGAATTATTTAGAAGGGATGATGAACAAAAAACTCTTGTTGCACTTTATCTTTAAACCCTGAGTTTATTTAAGTTAATGCATTTAGTAATATTAAAGGAATTAGGAAAATTTTTGACTTATATTGATTTAAAATAGAAAATGATTTGACACTTTGTAGATATAAAGAAAAAGGAGGATCCATGTTTATAATTTTTAAAGGAAAGGTCGATGTTATTTGCTCTGATGAATCATCATTTCATATTTAAGGGTAAACTACTAAAGGTTCTTGGTAGTAATGATCATGTTGGAAGATGATGTACCAAGTAGTGCTAAGTGGTAATGTCTTAATAAATTATATAAAATTTAAAGACCAAAATGGAATAAGATTGTTGATACATTTATTTTTTTGAAAGTTTTCATCCACATACACTTATAATATAGAGAATATGTGGGGAATTAAAAGGAAGATTAATGTCAACTAAAGATCGATTATATATATATAGCTAATCTAAAATGATATTTACTAACTTTTGGATTTTCAGTTTTATAATAACTTATTTAATCATATCAAAAATGAATCTGAATAAATAGACAAAGCTGGTTATTGATTATGATGAAAAATGGAACTTTATTTAAGAATGTTTTTGTTGATTTGGAAGAATCTAATAGATGGGAGCTAAAGAATGGGAGAAGAAATAATCACTACTCATTAAAGAATTCCTTTATAATTTAATACTATTAGAATTTTATCAAATTTAAACAGTTGAATAACTTCAATTAAAAAAAAAACTGAAAATATAGATGCTGTAGAAGATTCATTTTTTTTCTTTTTTTCAAAAATTTTATTCAAAGTAATGTTAATGATCAAAAGAAATTTTTATCAACTAAAATTATATCCAACTAGCTATGAACTGTTAATTTCAAAAATAAAAGAGAGGAATTGAATAAAATAAGAATTCTTATTTATTAACAACAGCAGATGGCTTAATTTCTGTTTCTTAACATCTTTTTGAAAAATTATTTAGAGTTGAAATTATATTAGAAATTTAAAATATTCATAAGTTTTTGATAATGCTAAATCCAAATGTAAATAATTCAAATAATCCACAGAAATTATTAAAAGAGAGAAAAGAATCAAAAAGATGATTTCCATCTTCGAATGAATTTATTTTATTAGATTTAAATTAAATAATTAACTTAATCATTTTTTTTTATACAAATTAGAATACTCTTCAACTAATTCTTTAAAAATAGTATGCAATTCTATATCTGGAAAATCTGATAATGGATTAAAGTTTTTATATTACTAATTTGCAACATAAGCAAACTGTTTAATTTTTTCTTAGGATTTTTTAGAATATTTATAACATTATAATGTTATTGCTGTTTATGGATAGAAATTATTTAGTTAATGAACCTAATTTAATTTAGGTGACAGCCATGTCATATCATTCTGATTACATGTTAATGACTTTATAGGATTCATCAAATGTTTGGCATTTGATAAAATGGCATAAATTTTTACATTAATTATTCCTTATAAAACCTTTACTATTCCATATTATCCTGCATGATCATGAATAGATGAATAATGTTTAAATGGCCAAATTTCTAAGACAAATTAATGTCCTGCAGAATCTTTATTAAAATGGCCTAATCCCAATCTTATGTAAGTCATTAAAGGATCTAAACCATTTTTTTGAGCAGTTTCCTATTTATTTTTTAGTATTTAATTCAATTTGCATCCTTCAATTGTAACACTATGATGAATTAAGTCTCCTAAATTAAATTTAGCTACTCCCTAAACTTATTAACCAGATTCAAAATATTCTATTTAATGCAATTCAATTTAACTTGCTTATTAATATAAATCGTCTATTTCTGAAGCTAAATTCTTTGCTTACTTCCCTTGATTCAAATCAAAAATATTTTAGCATTTTTATAAGATAACAGAACTTAGTGTGGGAATAAAATGATCTTTTGTGTGAATCCTTATTGGCTTTAGCTCTCCTTTTTAACTGGATATAATTTAAGGTAAGAAGTTTAAGGGAATCGATTCTTACCATATTGTAATTTATTTGATTGATTTTATACTATTTTGGACTGATTCCATTATATAATGAGCTACTATTGTTTCTTTTCTAGCTTCCCCATATCCAATATTCAAATTTAAAGTTTTTTTATTCAAATATATCCATATACCTTAAGTATCCACTATTTAATCTAATTTGTTTTTAAACATCACAATTTTTTAATCTTCCAATAATACTCTAGAGTCTTGAGATGAAATTAATAATTAATTTCTTCCGTACTAGATTTCCAAACAAGTTTATAGAGAATAATTTAGATATCTGACAATAATTCTATTCAATAGCTGAAATTATGCAAAGAATTCCTTTTACACTTTTTGAGGATTAATTTCTATAATTATAACCTTTTCATCTTGTTCAAATTCGAGGTCAATCCTTTTATCTAATGTTTATGATTAAAAAACCGCATCTTCAGTTGACATTTTTTTTAATAACAAAATAATAATTTATAGAAAACTTATTATTCTTTAACAAATACTATTGTTAATAGAATTTCACTGATAAAATATATTTATGTCTTAATAAATATTCTACTTAGTAAAATATTTAAATGAAATTTTAATGCCATATTCTCTAACTATATTTAATATCTATCAATAATAAGAAATTAGTAGATTTTATGAAGAATATATATATATAATTATACTAAATAACTTGATTTATCCAAATATTTAATCATGTTTTAGTTTATCAATAAAAATTCAATTTTATCTTCCAGATATTGTATCATTAGCATTAATATTTAATAACAATGTAGGTCTTAAATTAATAAAAAAAGAATACTTTTAGTCAAGAATTTATATACTAATTCTTTATTATTATAACGCTATCAGAGAATTAGTTTTCACCAAATGATGTTTACACAGATTCTTTTCAGAAGAAGATATGATGGGAGTAATTGTTCTAGAATCTAATAATTATTCACAATTATTTTCAGGTTGAAAACAATTATACTTTTCTTAATTTTTGATGATGATAATTTTTTTAGCAATTTTCAAAAGATATGTTTTTAATTTTTTAATTAAATACTTCTACCTTACTTATTTTTCTTTATGATTTCTTAATAATTTTGAAATAATATTATATTTCATTAAACATGGAAAAAACCTTGCTAATTTTATTTTAAATACATTCAGTTTTTACTCTAATTCATTAATTTATTATCTTAAAAATTCTTTGATAATTTTCAATAGTAGATATGAAATTGAATAAATATTTAAGAACAATAAGACTAAGATAAATATATATGAGAGTTCTGTTGAGCCTGAATATTATGAGAAGTAGCATCCTATTCCCAAATTGATTGAAATTATACAAGTGTTCGTTAAAAAATAATCCAACTTGTTTAAATAATTTAGATTATAGGGTTTAAATTTTTTGTTCAACTCTAAGTAAAGGATTAAAATCAAAACCACAATTATTGCTTTGATGAGAATACTATCTTCAAAATATGTTAAAGAGAGGATAATTAATTCTCTCTAAAATATTTTAACTATTTCCCAATAAAAGGTTAAATATCGATATTCTATGTACAAATAACCCCAGCTTTATCGCACCAATTTTTTATGAAATTTATCTTTATTTTTGTAAAGCCCAATTAATAAATAGAGTGGTATTACAATGGAAAATAAAAGAAGTGTAGGTATACAAAATCTAAACATCCATAATTTATGGATTTCTGTGTCATACCTCTAAGATACATTTGCAGAAATCCATTTATAATCTGAGACCTCCCTAAAGGAAATCAATAGCATCAATCCACCAATTAATGTTGGTTATAAATAGATGTAGATATAAATGAGTGTAGTTGTTATGACACTTTTATTGAAAATAGCATATCCAATTTTGAAGGCAATAAAGTAAATTAAAAAGAAGAAGCTAGTATAAAAGAAAGGTGTGATTAATTCCCAAATCATTCTTGCATAATGTATTTCATATGAGAAAGTATTTGATAAAAAGCAATCTAAAGAGTAAATCATTGACTCAAATGGTGAACTAATAGTTTATAAAGTACCTTATAATTCATTTGAAAAGTCTATTTAAAATGTACTTATTGTATCTAAAATTTATAAATAATTTGTTAAAAGTTTCATTAAAATTGCAGAACTATCTTAATTAAAATAAGTAGAACGATAAAAAACAGACTTAAAATCTGGTAATATATCCTATGCCGCCTTTATTGTACCTTAAACAGAAATAAAAACAGAAATTAAAGTCCTTCAATAACATATATATTATAGTCCCTTCACTTAAAATTTTGTCCAATTGATATTAAAAATAGATAAAACAATGGAAGAAGGGGTTGGGGTTGGGGTTGGCCTGAATATATCTGAATATATTTTTATATAATAATAATAATGAATATATCTTTATATGATAATAATAATAATAATAATAATGATGATAATAATAATAGACTATATATATAGGGGGTTGGGTGCAGGGTAAAAAGTAGTATAAATGGGGGCTAATTTTATCGGAACGATAAAATTTTAGTCAATATTTTCTTAAGAGGGTTTGGGTTTGGGTTTGGGTTTGGGTTTGGGTTTGGGTTTGGGGTTGGGGTTGGGTTTGGG